CCCTGCAAGAAAGCAGTGCTGAAGTCAAGAGAGTGTAGCTCGTAGTCACGGTGAGCAGCTATCTGCAGCAGTACCCGAAGAGTGGTCATCTTCGGGGTGGGAGAGAAGGTCTGAAAGTAGTCAACTCCCTGCCGCTGACTACAGCCACGAGCCACGTAACGCGCCTTGAAGACAGGCGGAGAACCCGGCGGTCGCTTCACCCTGAAAATCCACATGCCACTGACGATGTTCGCCCCAGGAGGGGGAACAGCGTCAACGTAGGTGCCTGTGGACTTCCAGGAAGCCATCTCTGCGTCCATAGCTGCCTGCCACTGAGAGGAGTAGGGACCCTCTATCGCCTCCGCGTAAGAGCGCGGAGTCGGGATGTCAAGTGCATCCGGGTCTCCCTCAGGGGTAAGCAGTACGGACACGAGATGAGGTGAAGCAGCGGCCAAGCACTGGAACTCCTCCTGCCTGTCCGCGAGGACGTCCGTGCCAAGGGCACACTCACCCCCGACGGACGGAGGACAGACAGACTCAGACTCAGCAACAAGACTGGCGGCGTAGTCTAGGCGACAGCGAGCAGCAAAGTCGACGAGCTCAGCAACTAGGGCAGACGCAGCAGTGGACTTAAAGGAAGGGTCAGTGACAATAGTAGCAAGGAGACGCGTTACAGTAGGACTGGCAGCACGAAGAGAGTCCGACTCCGGGTCGGCAAGAGCAGGAAGAGAAGACTCAGGAGGAGAAGGCAAAGGGGCACGCAGAGGAGTAGTCGACGGACGCAGAGACATCCGGTGCGTGTTAGGGACAGGAGGAGGACGCTGACGCGAACCGCGACCACTAGTGCGAGCAACACGGACCGGCGACGCAGGGCGAGACGCAAGCTCACGATGCTCAACAAGACCTCCAGTAGGACCAGTGTAGGGAGACGGAGCAGGCAGTGGGGAGGCCGGCTGTAACTGTAATTGCGACGGGACAGGCTGTGGACACTCTAAGGGAGGAGGAGGACCAGTAGAAGACGGGAGACCAAGAACCTGCTGAAGGAGCGGAAAGAAGTACGGCCGAGGCCGCGCGGCGACTCCAGACACAGCAGGGACAGCACCAGCACCCCCAGTGGCAGCACCAGCACCAGTAGCAGCTCCAGCTCCAGTACCTCCAGCAGCACCAGTAGTACTCCCAGCAGGACCGCCTCCAGGACCGACAGCAGTAGCCTCCGCGCCAACACCCGCAGCAGCTCCAGCTCCAGAAGTACCCGCAGGTCCAGCAGCTCCAGTACTCCCAGTACGAGCACCTCCGGGACCCGTGGCACCAGCTCCCTCAGCAGCAACAGAACCTCTTGTACCCGCAGCACCTCTAGCTCCAGCTCCTACGGCCCCTTATCAGCCGACCTCTTGTCAGACTTGTGCGGTTCAATGCGTTTCAGTATGATCGAATGTTATTGCATGTGTTTCAGTGCGGTGCCATGCGAATCTGACAAGAGGTTGGCCTGACAAAAGGCCATAGGAACACGCCCTTACACACTACTATTCGTAACAGTGATTCTAGTCATTCGATATTCTGCGCACTCTGCAAGTTCATTCATAACACTCATTCAATTCACAAATGAGTTTTTCAATATTTGAATGTTTTTCGTGACAATGAATAAAGGGTGACCGTTTAGTGCACAATTTGGTGCTGTCCTTTTTGTTTTTGTGAATGGTATTACATCTCGTAGTTTGGAAAAATCAACACTAACGTACTTTATGAAACAGGGGTTGGGGGTCTGACAGTATGACTGAAGTGGTGTACCCGCTGTGAGTGGGTTCTTTCGACGACACGAAAGCCCGACTTGGCGGTTGGGGATGCCCGAAGTCTCTTTGCAGAATTAGCCGCACAATATGTACCGTCGGAACTATGGTTGTCGTCTAATCTTGTCCGTCAAATACAATGACACGGCTATCTGACCCGGAGGAAGGGTGCTCTCTCCCTAGACAAAACAATGGCTGAACGTTCAACGTTCTTGGGTGCAGAATCTTGGGACCATCCCATGTTTTGGACTGGGTAGCAAGCGAGGTGCCGCGGTGATTCCATGGCCTGACAAGACAACGTCCTCATCATCCACTCCCACCCCATTCACACCTCGCATGATTCCGTTAGGGAGGTTGTCTGTACAACGGGGTTCTAGACACCCGATTCACTAGGAGCTTTTCCCATACTGAGCCAGATGTTTAAAACACAGACTGATCTCTGCTTTCACGTATAGCAGAGAACAATTCAACGTGAGCCGTTTAACGGAGGGAGGTCGATTGGCACTATGGATCCACCCATACATGTGTACCAATTAAGGATGACTACCCATGTGAGCACCTGGAACTTCCTCCGTCAGCAGACATCCAGGGTTAGGACCAACCAAGTCGTGATTCGTGAATTGTGCCAGAGAGTTTCAGCAAATCATGATGCGAGACGCCGTCACACCACCTGAGAAATCTGGGTTGCATTGCTCAAACGCGCATCGCAGAATCGACCCTCCCCCTTCCAACTTCCCGAAATAAGGGTAAGTAACTTTGGAAGGGCTTACACTAGCGACCCTGTGCTCCGAGGGGGCCTACAGTGCAAGTAGAGGGCACTTTCCACCCCTCCGTGCCTCAGACAGGGAAGTTATAGAAACAGGACAGGGCAAATCCCCACATTCACCCACGTGTCAACAATTTCCATGCCACCTACTGTACACCCTGTTTCTCGACCCTCTCACCTTGCGCGATTCGCTGCTACAGTGCGGTCAGGTGCCATAAACCGTATGGCTGAAACCTGCGGGCAAAGCCGCACCAGCTGACGGAGTGGTACTGGGGGCAAAATTTTTCTTTATCGCTGTATACCCTTTTTAACCGCTTTGAAACGCTTGGTTAATGTTCTTTACCATGCAGCATCCTAGCTAACCGCTTTCTTGTGAATGTGCTTGTACCGTCGGTGATAAGACCATTTCAAACGTGGTGACGTTCTACAACCTGTGCATGTTCTGCAACCAGATGCTCTGCTAGCGCGAAACAGGGTGTACTGGACATCTGACCACCTGTGCACAACAGATTTTTGTCCCCACTGCAAAATCGAATCCACAAACTGGGTGGCTCGGCTGCCACACTGTTCCGAAATCCGCTAGGCTACTGTTTCGCGCCCAGATTTTCGGAACGGCCATCAAGGCAGACGGAAACGAAAACGGAGTAGCTCTCCGTCAAATCTTTCGAGTGACTTTTCCCGTCAGGGGTTTCTGTCACACATAACAGAGTCGCGATTTTGTACATGGGCGATACAACAACACATATCACAGCTGATAAATTTATGTTTCATATTCAGAAATATGAATATTGAAATATGTGTGTGTGTGTGTGTGTGTGTGTGTGTGTGTGTGTGTGTGTGTGTGTGTGTGTGTGTGTGTGTGTGTGTGTGTGTGTGTGTGTGTGTGTGTGTGTGTGTGTGTGTGTGTGTGTGTGTGTGTGTGTGTGTGTGTGTATGTGGGTGTGTATGTGTGTGTGTGTGTGTGTAAGTGTGTGTGTGTGTGTGTGTGTGTGTGTGTGTGTTTCAGCGCAAATCACATCGCTTCCTCCACAAACTGTAGTATGCATATCAAGTTGGTTGACATTTGAAATTACGATTTCGAAGTCTGAATTGTACTGCCATATGCTTCATTCGTGCATTAAGAAGATTGAGTACCCTATTCATATTTCTGAATATGAAACATAAATTTATCAGCTGTGATATGTGTTGTTGTATCGCCCATGTACAAAATCGCGACTCTGTTATGTGTGACAGAACCCCCTGACGGGAAAAGTCACTCGAAAGATTTGACGGAGAGCTACTCCGTTTTCGTTTCCGTCTGCCTTGATGGCCGTTCCGAAAATCTGGGCGCGAAACAGTAGCCTAGCGGATTTCGGAACAGTGTGGCAGCCGAGCCACCCAGTTTGTGGATTCGATTTTGCAGTGGGGACAAAAATCTGTTGTGCACAGGTGGTCAGATGTCCAGTACAGTAGGTGGCATGGAAATTGTTGACACGTGGGTGAATGTGGGGATTTGCCCTCTCCTGTTTCTATAACTTCCCTGTCTGAGGCACGGAGGGGTGGAAAGTGCCCTCTACTTGCACTGTAGGCCCCCTCGGAGCACAGGGTCGCTAGTGTAAGCCCTTCCAAAGTTACTTACCCCCGAAATAACCCTGACTCGAATCTCTAGGCCGCCACAGATCTGTATGCATACACATGATGCCCGACCAATGCACGCGAAATTGCCATGCACCGGATGGAAACGCTGCACCCGAGCTGGAAACCCCTGCTTGCTGCTCCCACAGTACAAGCACATGGGTGGCTGGCAACAGTACACGCAACTCAGCCATCAATGCATGTTCATTCCCGAACAAGCCACGCTACCCCACTTTCCCTTTGTTTCTAGGCCAGGAGTCAGAGAGGCGAAATGAATGGACGAAAAAGCTGAGGACTCGTGAACGCATTCGCCCATCTGGGCCGCCACCTGAGCAAGGATCATCGTGCGTGTAACAGGCAGTTGGTCAGATTAACCCTGCCACGTGTATATCGGGACCTGCAAGGTACAAGCGCATTACCAGCCAGGCGTTGTTCGCCCGACCCACGTCAGACAATCGAGGGTGTAGTTACCAAACCAGTTGCTAAAAAATGCAAGCCAGGTGCATGGAACGTACACCAACCACACAAATGTGACATCCAACAAAGAACAGGCCCCAGTCTTGCCCAGCACGCCCGACCTGTGATGATAAAATGTGTGCAACTAATTCGCTAAGTCACCTCTGTCTCTCACACCCCAGTCGCACACAATGCCCCGCTTTAACCGACGGGAGCAGCTCCCGCTGCATATCAAGCGCGCTATTTGCGTACACCACGTAGACAACCCCCGCCTGCGTCATGTCGACTTGGCTAGGTGGTGTTACTCGCAGTACGGATTGCGGCCAGATCGTTCCACTGTCGGCCGCATCTTGAAGAGCGCCGAGCTATGGGATGTTACGGCAGGTAGCGACAACCAAATGCGACGTCGAGGTGGCGCATGGCCTGAGCTGGAGCAGGCCATGGCGCGGTGGATCGCAAACGCAGGGCCCGCTGGCGTGCCTCTGACGCTGCAGACCATCCGCGACCATGTCGCCACGATGGCACGGAACATGGGCATTCCGCCCACATTCCGATGCTCCATAGGCTGGGTGCGTCGTGCTTTGAAGCGCCAGGGAGTGAGGTGCCGGGCAGCACAAGGCGAGGCGGCTAGTGCGGACATGGCCGCCGTGCGCCACGCACGTGAGAAGCTGCCACAACTCCTCACGCATCTCGGTGTCACCCCGCGGGACACGTTCAACATCGATGAGACGGCGCTCTGGCTGTCGGTCCTCCCTCGGCGCACGTACAGCAACGGTCGGATTCCGGGCCGCAAACTTTCGAAAGAGCGGCTCACCGTGGCATTCCTCGTCAATGCTGACGGGAGCCACGTCTTCCGACCGGTCGTCATCAGTAAGGCTAAGCGGCCGCACGACTTCCGCCCGGATTATGACTCGGAGTCCCTTTGCTACTGGCGGCACAACGCCAAAGGCTGGATGACCTCGCCGGTAAGGTCGTCGTTGTTCACGGTTTAACGGGTCGTTGATGCTTCGCAAGTATTACGCGTAATAGCGCACCTTACTGTAATGTGTTAAACATATCAAAATTCACTTGTACATTCCGCCTTCCCTCCCATTCCCCTTCATGCAGTTATTCACGCATTTCATATCGCAGCTCAATGCTGCCATGTACGCAGAAAATCGAAGATTTTGGTGCTGCTCGACAACGCGAGCAGCCACATGCTCCGCTCACAGCTCGCGTGGAGCGAGATCGTCTGCGGGATGCGGACGACCTGCATGAGCAACGTGCGGCTCGTTTTCTTGCCGCCGAATACCACCGCCTTCACACAACCGCTCGATCAGGGCATCATAGCCACCGTAAAAGCCCGCTACCGACAGCATTGGCTGCGGGCCTTCACGGCCTTGTGGAACGGCGAGGGCGCGACTACCGCCGTCGCCCGTTTCCGCCCCAATTTGCGCGATGTCCTCGCGTGGCTGTCGGACGCGTGGATGTCTGTCGGCGAGCGCACCATTCAACGGTGCTGGTGGCGCACGGGGTGTCTGCCGCTGTCATGGTCCCTGGAGCTGTCGCATGTACACGACGATGAGCCCACCCCTGCCGTCTACCCCGACATCGAGCTCGACGACGACATCGATGATGTCGGGACTCTCATCAGCGGGCTCGCACTCGGGAATGCGGCGATGACGGCCGCAGAGTACGTCGCCATCGACGACGGCGAGCCGACGAGCGCCGAGGGCGCTGAGGGACAGCCTCCGAACGAGCCGGAGTCGGGCGTAGACGCCGAAATCTGGCAGGCGCCGACTACCATTCCAGCCGTCTACGACGACGCCGACCCCGTGTGCCGCGAAGCGCGCCGCACTGCCCGGGCGGCATGCGAGATGCTTATAGGATACGCTCGGGCCACCCGCATCACGCCGCGCGATCTGTGCCATCTATTCGATATACGCAACCCCATTATAATCGCGCGGATGGAGCGGGCTAGCCCGTCGTTCAACCTCAACGTGGCGCCTCAGCCCGTACCCTCCCCGGGCGCAACTCCCACGCCCGAGACCCATCGTCCGCGCGGTCGTGTGCTGCCCGACTGGATGACCCGGCCGTCTCGCCGTCAGGAGCTGTTTGACGCCGGTGTGGGCGCCGTGATGGACGGGTATGTGGACGCGGCTGAGTGGATGCGTATGTGAGGGTGGGGGTGGAGCAGACTTCGCAAGGTGTCGAATGCATTTTGATGAGAGCCCAAGTGTTCACTCCTTGTGCACATTTGTGTGTGTTTCGTTTTGTGTGTTGAATGGAGATGAGCTCCCAGGTGGAGGATGTTGATTGGAAGGTGTTCGTGTTTTACCTGTTTTGTACTACGAAGAACAATTGTTGCACATGCTTCTTTCGGTACTGTAGTGTTCGTTTAGTAACCATAAACACACAACATGGACAAGTGCTGCAACCCCATACTGTTGCTAATGAGACAAACAGGGTGGTTACCATGATCAGTTTTGAAGCACGCTGGACGCCTGACGAAATTCACGAATACCCACGAAATGCAGTTTCAGCTTACAGTCCCAGTTCACAAGGCAGCCGGGAGGGGCTCTAACGAGCATCAGCTGTACCACACCACAGCGCCAGTCACGGTGAGAGGGACCGCCCACCTGCTTCAGAAACACATCCAACGCCCTCCGCTGAATTACACTCGTCGAGGAAACTTCTAGGCAAACGGAAGATGAGATACATTTTGGCAGCGGCCATTATGCAGAAAAACAGCGCCTGTGTCGTAGTATCTTATCGCGGGTGGTGAGATTTAGCAGCATTTGGGAAACAGGTATGATGCGGCGCTGTAACCATCATCAGCAATACAAGCAACAGTAACCAGAACTTTCAGAAGGTGCGGTTGGCGGGGAATTGGAGCGAGCTGTGGAAGCTGCGCCTGCAATAGCGAATACCGCTACCTCCTCTGCTAGTATCGGAGCGGGTCGCGCAAATCTCGGCGGCTGGGCGTTGAGAGCAAAAGATAAAGCTGACATTACAGCTGGCCGTGGTCCGCGTCAAGTTGCTGCGGCGAGGCAACGAGCGACAGCCTGCTGGGCTGTCCGTGGCTCGAAGCGGCGTCGAGGCCTCATGTTGAGGACCACGCCTGTGTAACGCGATGACGACGGCGGCGGAGATGGCGATGGCGACACTTGATTAGGGGCCGTTGTCTCCGCTGGAAAGCACCTGCGATTAAACGCATTGCTTCAATTGCTAGTCTCGTCTTTCCCGCTGGCTTACCACCCGCGCATCTCTCAGCGAATAATGTCAGGTTCGCAAGCGCGCTTGCGTCGCTCGTAACGTTCTTTTAGCCTGGTGCGCCGCGAATCAGGTGAAATCGTCTCGTTCCGCTAAAGCAGAGCCATGGCGGCGCCAGTGCGAGTGCGCTCTCCTGATCAGCACCCTGTGTAGCCCTGCACGCCGCTGCGCCTCCCATCTCCCTCCGCCGCCCATCCACCAAGTTCACACCGTTGTTAGCCGACGCCTGCGTGTCCGTTCCCCCCCGCAACTTTCGCCCGCGCCCTGGTGTTGGCGGGCGGGAGATTTTCTCCCCTAGCGTAGCGATGGCGGCAGCAGGCGTGCCGATCCCCGCGCGTCCCGTCTCAGCTGCCACCACCGTGCCGCAGTCTCCCGGCGCCGTCTTCTGGTCCGACGATCCCGAAGCGGCCGGGCTCAACGCCTCCGCTATTATTAGCGCGGGCGTGAGCGGCAGCGGCGGCGCGGCGGTTGGGTACCCCGCGACGGACGGGGGGGGCATGGCGCAGGTCTTCTTGTCCCCCGCAGACGCCAGACCTGGGGGACCCCCGCCAGAACCCATTCACGCGCCGTCATCGTCGCTCCACGTCATTCCCGAGGTGTCTCTAGCCGTGGTGGTGCTGGTGCTCGTACTGCTCGTGTGCCTGCTGCTGCTGCACCGCTACCGCTACCGGCTGCGCATCTCCTACTTTACCATTTGGGAGGCACAACTCGACGGCGAAGATCGGAGTGCAGGCAACCAAGGAAGTGGCGGCGGAGCGTTCCTCGCTGGCAGCGGCAGCAGCGCGACGGGCGGAGGCGGAGCAGGAGGCGCGAGCGCGGGTCGCGGGGCGAACTATCGGCTCCGCGTGGGGGCCGGCGGCGGTGGTAGTGGAGGCAGGGCAGGGCGGAGGGACGACAGCAGCGAGTGGGTGCACGTGCTTCTGGACATACACGGATTCAGGGACGCCCTGGGCGACGACCATTTGTACCGCGTGGGGGCCGCTGGGCTCGCCCGAGGGTATAGCCGCGGTGGCCGTGGGCATGGCGGCAGGCGGGCGCCGTCTGGGCTGGATGTGGCGACTATCAACTCCTTGGGGTCACTCACGGTGTTCGAGCGTAGTAAGGGCTGCGTGAAGGGCAGCTTGCAGCATGCGGAGAGTGGGGTGGGGGAGACGGCGGAGGTTCAGGCGGAGAAACGGGGCGGGCGAGAACGGACGAGGGAGATGGGAGAGCAGGGAGAGGAACACGAGGTGGTCGGTACTCCTGATCTGAACCCGTCCGGGAGAAAAATGGTGACGGTCGAGCCAGCGATGGGCATTTATGCTTCGCGAGGAACGAGAGTGGAGGAGATGGGAGCACGAGAAATAGAGAGAGAGCCAGCAGGCTTGCATTCAGGGCCGGCAGATGGGCTGACAGGCGTGAAAGACGGCGTGCTGGGGAGTGCGTGGTCGTGTGTGTCTATCGATGTGCGGGTGCGGGAGGCAAGATGCAAGCGAGGCCGCGGCAGACACAGAGCGGAGCACGGCAGGTGTGGGTGCGATGGAACATGCCACGAGGAGCAAGGCGGGGTAGCAGAGCAAGGGCCAGCCGAGGCCATGAGGCATGGCGGCGCAGGAGAAGATGGGTCGGGGCGTGAGAGTGAGGTGGTGGTGAGCTGTGAGGAGGGCGAGTGTGCGGTGTGCCTGAGCGTGTACGTGGAGGGGGACGTGCTGCGCACCCTGAACAAATGCCACCACCACTTCCACCAGGTCAGCTCCATATCACCATATGCTAGTTGATGCTTGACGAGCTGTTATGGTGGTGAGTGGTATTCTGCATCACGACTCCTAGGTCAGGTGAGATGCGCTCTGTTGAGTCTAGGTAGCTTGGATGGGGTGACGCGGAAGACTGCAGAAAGTTCCAGTCAATACTTTCTCTTTAGCTTTGCCAGTTCTTGCTGCCCCAGCCACGTTCTCCTTGTTACCTCCTCCCCTGTTTGCAGATTTGCATTGACGAGTGGCTTTCCGGCAGCACCTCCTGTCCTCTGTGCCGCACGGCTATGGTGCCTGACAGATCCCCCCACGTCCAGCAACAAGAGCAAACAGCGACATATGCAGCACCAATGCCGTCACGACCACCAGTGGTGGCAGGAACAGCTGCAGTGCAAGCAGCGGCGGCAGCAGCGGCAAGAGGAGGAGGAGGAGGAGGAGGAGGAGGAGGAGGAGGAGGAGGAGGTGATGGAGGAGGAGGAGGAGGAGGAGGAGGAGGAGGAGGAGGAGGAGGAGGAGGAGGAGGAGGAGGAGGAGGAGGAGGAGGAGGAGGAGGAGGAGGATGAGGAGGAGGAGGAGGAGGAGGAGGAGGAGGAGGAGGAGGAGGAGGAGGAGGAGGAGGAGGAGGAGGAGGAGGAGGAGGAGGAGGAGGAGGAGGAGGAGGAGGAGGAAGAGCAGGAGAACGAGGAGGAAGAAGAAATGCCGAGGTATCTGGCGCATCAGCATCAGCTGCCCATGTGCATGACCCACAGCACACCCTCCATTCCCTGCACCACGCGTCATCTGACTCCTCGGCGCCCCCAGCAGGTGCTGAACCAACCGCTCTCGCTCACACCCTACGGCAGGAGCAGCAGAATGAGCTAAGGAGCGAGGTGGCAGAGAGGGGAAGGGTGGCAGAGCAGGTGCAGCTAGTGGAGAGCTTGAGAGGGCAAGGTGGTGAGGAAGGGAGAAGGCTGATCCGCAGAGTCGAGCATGGTGGGGGAGCAGCCAGAGGCCCGAGTGGACAAGAGCAACAAGTAGAGCGGCCAGTGGCAGAGGCCAGATTACAGCAGGCACGTGAGGAGGAGTTTTCACCTGCTCTCAGCCTTCCTGATGCTGGAGTGCTCCATGTGGAGCCAAGGGTGGAATCTCAGCAACCTCCTGCACGCTCACTGCTCAGCTGGCTCCGGCTCACATCGGCTACAGCTACTGGTGCTCATGGGCTCAGTAGGCCATTGGGCAGAGGCAGATCACAGGCACACGTATCAATTTAGGGAGCTTGGGCGAAGCGCTTGAAGGGAGGCGATTGAGCTGCAAGTTCTTGCTGAACAGGTGCATGCTACCCGCTCTGCCCTTTCTGCTGTGTTGTTGTGGGCGCGTGTTTTGTATTTATAATGTTTCCATGTATTGAACTCTTTTATTGCATTTCGGCTCACACGCTGTGTGGCTGGAGCTGGTCACACTGGTACTGATCAAATTGTAAGTGAATTCTGATGTATTACAACCAACGCCCACTCCAGTCACCCAACTTGTTGGAGCGGCAATGGGCCAGAACTAGCACAGGCGTTTCCCTGCCAGGGCCCAAAATATCAGGGTAAAACACCCTGATTACCCTGGGGGCCGGCCGCTTTTTCAGGATTACCCTGCTGAAATCAGGATTGCGAAATAGTTACCATTCTCTTAAAAGAGCATGTTTTATTTTACCCTGCTAGGTTTTTAGCTTACCCTGGCGGAATCAGGGTTTGGTGTACACTACCCTGTTACCGAATCTTTTCTAACGCGAATCAGACCATAGTCCGCGTGGTGGCGACAAAACGTACAACACCTCCACAAACACCCGTTGTCGCTCGTGCCCACGCGCATGGAAACTTGCATCGTAGTTGGCAGCACGCCAAGAATCCTCATTGGTTGTTTCTGCGGCAGGACTGCCAACAATTATTGCTCCTCGTCACTTATCGCCACGCCCACCGCCATCACAGCAGAATTGGCTGTCAAGGACAGCTTCAAGCTGTCCTTAACAACAACTTGCAGCCTCAGTGCTGCCTTGCTGGCCATAACAGGGCCCGCCCCGTGGAAGAAACGGCCAGTTGCGTGTGTTGACTTCATGGACTCTGAATGTGCTACTTGTGTATATCATTAAAAATAAGTTACTCACAAAATAGATACAAAAACAGGCTTAGCCTAAAACTACCCTGCTCAAATCAGGCTAGTGGTACATTTACCCTGCTGAAAACAGGGTATGAAATGTTTTACCCTAGGGGTCTGGTTAAGGAGGGGCTGTTACCCTGATTCGTAAGGGTAGCCCTAAACCAATTTTGGGCCCTGTTCCCTACCTTCGCAGAGTCCGCTAAGTACAATCATAGAAGATGGTATGGGATTTGGTGTGTGCCATTCCTGGTTGTGACTGGGTAGCCCCCTCACCTGTAGATTTCTTATTTCCATGTTCTCTGCTCCAATGCAGATGGGATGGGGTTGCTAAAAGGGATAGGCAAATTTCAAGGATATGGTTGGGCATTTTGTGTAGTGTTGTGCAACTTAGTGTACTGCAAACTTATGAAGAAATGGCTTAACACCCTTACCTGCAAGTCCCACTGCTTCCAGCCCTCACTTCGCTAGTAGCACGCTTTTCGCTTCGGGAGAAGAACAATCATCACCAGCCATCAGTTGCTGCGCGTTATTTCCACGTCATGCCTAAAACCTGACTTCCACTGAGCCAATGCTACTAGCGAAGCAGCCCCACTTCCTCTGGTATCATTTGGTGCACACCGCACGCTAGTTGCCCAGAAACCAACACGCTAGCGAAGTTAGGCTTAGGGGACGTAAACAAGTTGGCATTAACACTCCTCATTAGAATCTGCTCTCTCCGTCACTCGTTCCGCATTTCCTTTCCGTTCTGTCTTGGCTCCTGCTTCCAATCTGACATGTACAGTTCTACCACGCATCCAGCGATCTGAGAGAACGTTTGCGTGGAGTCAGCCGGGCCTTTTCTGCGCGAGTTCGTCAACGTTAAGAGTGTTGCAGTTGAATTTCCCGATCCCCGTTCTCCCTGTAACCAAGAACCAGCCGTTTTCAGCGTGTGTTGCACGCGGTGCGCGTAGTCCTGATTCTGTGGGTACAGTTTATATTGGAACGCCCTAGTTTCGAAGGAACGATTTAAAGCAGTTCGCTCCCAGGCGTTTAGCGTGCACGATCTGGTTGGATCCACGTCGTCAGATCCTCTGCTTGAGGGAGGCAGTCGGTATCGACACACCTCTGTGCTGGCTACGCCGCGTGTGACCGTGACGGCGAGTGAGCTGTCCCCATGGTATGTGTGGGGGATTCTTGTGTTGATCAACGTACGCTTTTCAAGATGTGGGCTGTTGAAGTAAGCAGTAGTTGAACCATTGACTTGTGCGAATCAATTGAACCTGTGAGTCTCACATTCTCATTTACTTTCCCCGTTTCCGAACCACTCCTCACCCTCTTTCCCTCTTTTCCCATGCGTATCACACTCGCGCCCTTATGCGCACACACCCATCCATATATCGACCCATCTACCCATCCACCACGATACCCCCCCTTAAAAGCTTACATGGTTACAGCAAGTAGTACGAACAAGAGCGCAAGAGCGCGCAAGCAGCCAAAACACTTGAATTGAAGACAAGCATGGAACGGGGCAAGCCAGATCCATCACCTTACCTGGGCCATGCTCTTCCATCCACTGCTTCCGTCCCATACCATTTCCCACAGCTTCCCTCATCCCTTGCTTTTGCTTTAAATGACGCCCCTTCTCCTCCCACAGGCGGCAAAGATAATAGCGAACCTCATAGTGCTGGGCTCAGGCATTGTCATCCGGGCCTTCACTCAGGCATACCAGCAAGCACTGACTAGTGAGTGAATGCACAAGCTCAGCACGTAGCTAACAAAGTGCTTGCCAATTGATTAGTCTTACGAGCTGGCAAGGACAAAAGCTTTTGCACATGCTGCATGCACAACACTGTGCTGCCCTCAGCAGCAGGCTCTTTGCTGGTGTACTAGTCAAGTGCGCCCTCATTGTTTTCCAGTGTATGCTCGCGGCACCTTCCACCCGCCTTTCGTTAGTACTATTGGCAGGTGGTCGCTGCTTCGAACAATTTCTTTCTGAACGGCCCTCACGCCCCACCCTTCCCCCACCCCTTCCCTCCGTGCCCCCTGTGTTTCTGGCTGTTGGTCCCTGCTCGCCCCTCCAGATGCGTCTCGCAGTGGGGTGGCGCAAGAAGCAGCAGCAACGGCATCGCGGCGGCTATCAAAAGTGATGTCAATTCAGGAGGCACGAATGATTTTGGGGGTCACCGAGGAGACGCCCTGGGAGCAAGTGCTGGAGGTAGGTTAAGGGGAAGGGATTGAGAGACACAGGTGTGGTTGAGGTAGGGGGTGATTGGACGGATGCAAGCATTGGTAAGGAGACAGGATTTTCTTTCTTTCTTTCTTTTTCTTCTTTTGGGTGGGGTGTGGAAGGGGAGGTGGAGAGGGAGGTGTGATTATGCGCAGGGCCTTCTCGTTCAACAGCCCTGTCTCCACCGTTGCCTCTCTAATGTTCTCTTGCAATGTCGTTGTTTCTTGGCAGAAGTACCAGCGGCTATTTGAGCGCAATGAGAAGATGGGATCATTCTATGTTCAAAGCAAGGTGCAGAGGGCTAAAGAATGCTTAGAAGCAGCAAAACAACAAGGAGATCAACTCTCCTAGCACCTCATCTCTTCTCGCCAGCCGTTGTCATCTCAATTGCTGCCTAGAGGCTTCGACCTGGGCCATAATCCGTCATACGAGTGCTTCTGACTCCCGCAGCCGGGGTGGAGCTTTGAAGTAATTTCACCCGAATAACAGGAGCTGGCCAAGTGGGTAATGGTGGTAGTGGTAGTATGATTGTGACAACAGACAGCACATGTTCAGAAGGCATGTGTATGATGGAAGCATGCTTTTGTTAGGGCATGGCATGGCATGTCATTGCTGGGATAGGGGGGTGATAGTTTTGTGCATGCTATGTGTTGCTTCTGGTCTGGTGGGACTGATATTGTATGCGGATGCATAACGTGTCTCTGACTTCGGAATCTGGCCTAACGCAACTGGCATAAGGATTCATTTTGAGGGTAGCTGCCTGCAGCCTGCAGGTTATGTTTTAGTTCATTATTGGGGCTACATTATGCTGAGGAAGTGCAGACAGGAATTTTTGGAATGAACGTAGTCAAGAGAACAAACGAAAGCCACTTTTCGAGCTACAGTAATGTCGAGGTCAGCGACCTGCCCCCAAGTCTCCTGGCAACCGCTCCGCCCAAGCACCCTTGTCCCGCGCAAAGTCGCACCCTATCGCACAAGCCGCTTCCAAAACAGAACTGAAGCCAATCACGGTACGCCACTCGGTGAGCCATTTCGGCTCTGACCGTCGTTTGGCCGTCGCCCCACCCCAGCCAAGCACAGCTCAGAAAGACAGTGCCAAGCTACGGTTTCTGCGAGCTGTCGTCGACCTGTCAGAAGCGCGGGAGCATCGCACGACCGTGCAAAATTTGTGCCCATCGCCTCAGAGACTGACGCGAGGCCAAAGGGAGTGACGGGAAATGAATGATGGGATGGAGAAAGCAGAAGCAGGGGATGCGGATGGGAGATCTACTGCTGCGGCGATTCCACTCCCTTGCTCTGTGGGCCTTCATCCCATTCATTCTGGAGCAGATCTAGCATCCCACCCATGTTTCCACAAAGCTAATGTGAAGGTAGACAAGTCCACAACGGCGATTAATCTGTTCATTATCTTGACGAAAGATATACTGCCAGCTGTTTTCAGCAAGCCATTCAAGCTGGGTTTCAGAAAGTGATTTACCATGGTGAGATTGCCGAAACGTCCGTTATATTAGTGCGATAATTGGATTCGCCGTATCCTGAAAGGCGTTCCCTTCTTTCTAGGTTTCTTCACATCGGTGCTAAGTCATAGTATCGTGCCATTGTTGGTACATCGCTCTTTCCTGTGCGAACACGTTTCTACTTTACGTCACGTGTTTCTCCGCTAGTGATGCTTCTGCATCGCCTACATGAGCGAGCGAATATGAGTTCGCATATTTCCTCTTTCCTTTCCAATCGCATTCTCCCTCGTCACGTTGACGGCAGGATGGGGGTGAAGGAGGAGTCTCCGAGCTTCTCGCTCGGTTTCGACAGGTAAGACAACGTCGCTGCTCCTCTATACCTTTCGAGTCAACGAGTCAGGAACGTCATGTGAATTGGCGTTAGTGCTGCCACTTGCTTTTTCTTGTCGCGGCACAAACTGCGAATACTGTCAGGTCGGTCTGGTTCCGGATAATTTCAGGCCATTACCCGTTGCATCGTATTGCATCGATTATAGATTGTTGTGTCCGTCAGTTACCGCTCGTCCCCTTCTTCCGCCGGATATGTCTACAAATGACTCTCTCTCCCCGTGCTTCTCGTTGTGATAACCGCAATCTCATATGTAGTAACTGCTGATAAATTCATTCCTTCAGGGAGTTTTCGCTAGCCGCAATCAGTTAAGGGGCCGCGTATGTAGTAACTGCAGAAATTCGTTCCGTAAGGTAATTTTCGCTAATCCAAGCCACCGTGCTCATTGCCCCCAAAACATCCCACCACTTTTCCCTTCAAGCAGAACAAAACGCGCGAGCTCGCCCCAGCCGATGCCTCGACGGCTGTAACTTCCAATCCCTTCAAAGTGCACCTGCGGGTATGAATCTGCCCTGTAATGAGAAAGGGAGAACAATTATGATAATCCGCGTGCTGATGTACGTTCATTGGTAAAGGAAATGTGAATCCGTGTGTCGATAACAAGCATGCAAACGCGAATTCTGTTCGTGGCCGAGACGCGTGTTTTGGCTCCAGTGCGAAGCTTTTGTTTGGTTGCGTGCTGTTGGATTCTGCGCGCTCGTGTACGGATGACTGGGTGTCATCAGTGCTCTTTTGTATACCGTGTCCCTTGCTTCTCATGTGGTGGCCGTGTGTGTGGATCTGCTTGCTCATGCCTTGCAGCACGCTGGCGAGCACCATGAAGCCCACCCGCCGGAGAAAGAAGAGGATGAGGAGGAGCGGAAGAAGGAGAAGAAGGAAAAGAAAGAGAAGAAAGAGAAGAAGGAGAAAAAGGAAAAGAAAGAGAAGAAAGACAAGGGGGGTGGAGAAGAGGAGGAGGATGAGAAGAAAAAGGAGAAGAAGGAGAAGAAGGAGAAGCACAAGGAGGAACTTCATGCTGCGCATGAGGAGACAGCGAAAGCAAAGGCAGAGCTGGAGGTGAGGCGTACTCTCATCCCTACGTGGCTATGTTTTGAACAGCAGGGATATCATACCCTGTTCTCCTCAATTTCCCGATACCCTTTTCGCCTCGTGCTGCCTCATCGTACTTGCCACTCTGTCCTCAAGGCGTTGGCGTTCCTTGCTTCCCACTTACGCTAACGTTACTGTTTCCTGATTGGGCCTTGATTTCGTCCCCCCTCTGCCGTCGGTATCAGGAGCTGCGAGGGCAGCACGAACGGCTCGAGGCGCTGCTGAAGGAGCTGACGCAGCAGCAGGAAGCCAAGGATGCGGCGGCGGTGAGTGCCTTGCAGTTGCTGATGGTTTTCGGTACACGCACAACCGCATTGTAGATCCTAGTATCTTGGATTTTCTCTGTGATGCTCGGCAGAAGCTTACCCAGTGATGCGGGAAGAAACAGCTCGTTCAGGTCTCTTGTAGTGAGCTTACATCTCGTTCACTTCCTTCCGAAATTTGTTATCTCTCCCCTCCTGTTACTCAGCGTTCAGGAGCGGAAGCAGAGGCGGAAGCTGCAGCGCTGCGGGGGCGACTGAGTGAGGCGCAGGCGGAGGTCAGTGCGGCCCAAGAGAAACTCAGTGCGCTGCAGGAAGAGCTTTCCGCCGTGCAGGGGGAGCTTTCTGCGGCCAAGGAGGAGTTATCCACCGCGCAGGGGGAGTTGAATACTGTGCGCGTGCGGCTGGAAGAGGCGCAGGCGGAAGGAGAGGCCCTGCGCAAGGCAGAGGGAGAGATGAAGGTGCGACTCAGGGTGAAGGGGGAAATTACGAAGAACAGGGCGAGAGGGAGCGGGACGGATGTTTGATGGCTGGAGGGACTCAGCGTTGGGTAGTTGAGCCTTGCTCTCTCTGGTGTGAAAGGACCTTGAGGTAGGCTGGGGAAGGGAGAACGCGTGGGCTCACGGGTGGAAGAGTATTCGATGCTCAGGGACGCCGTGGGGCATGGAACAGATTGGCCACAGTTAAGGATGGAGGCTTGACATAGAATGAAGGCTTGACATTGTTGGTGGTATGGTATGCATGGATCTGGCCTGCCTGCGTTGCCAACAGCATCAGTGGCTTATGTGGTGATGCTTGACCTGCTGGTTGTGGCGGTGGAACGTGTAGGGTTGTAAGACTGTTCATGCTCCCTCTTCTCGTCACTGCCTAGGATGCTCTGCGTCTGTGCGCTGTCTGATTGTGTGCCCGTGGTACGTGACACAGGATGAGGTGGAGAGAGTGAAGGAGGCAGCGACAACAGCGCAGCAGCAGCTGGAGCAGCAGCTGGCAGCAAAAGACGCAGAGATGCAGCAGCTGCAGGCAGACGTCAAGGTACCGAGCTGCAGCGCGCTCTAGGCTTCTCTGTTAACAGAGCTCGTTCGTTGCCTGCACTAGGCTCCGTGCCTTGTATGTGTTCGCCAGAGCCTAACAGTGAACCTTCTCGTATCTCACACGTGTGTGCTCGCTCACAGGATCTGCAGAAGAAGCTGGAGGAAAGCAGCAAGCAGGCCATTGACGGGGGAGGGCTGGCAGAGGCGCGTGTGGACGATGGAGCAGCAGGAGCTGATTCAACAGCGGCGTTGAAGGCAGCTGAAGCAGTGAGTGCCCATGCCTGTGCCTGCACTCGTCTGCTCGTGCTATTATCTTATCTCTGAATCGTTTCACCATAGAGCTCGCTAGTGGCGCAAATACATTGCCTTTCTGCTCAGCCACACTCGTGCTGCCCTGCACTTTCCTCCTCTTTCTGCTGTTCCTCTCGTCTTCTTGTATCTCCTCGCGGTGGTCTGTGCGTGTGCAAATGCGTGTGCTTGCGTTCGTGCTGCTTACCACCCATGTTCCCCCACGTGAACCAGGAGTTGGCGCGGCTGAGAGAGGAGGTGAGCGACTGGAAGGAGCATGCGGAGGAGATGGCTAGGGAGAAGCTGGAGAGGGAGAGCGCAGCAGAAGCTGAGCAAGAGCAGCGGCAGCTCCTGGTGAGTGTGCGTGCACCTTATGCAACTGGAGTCCGTTGGCTGTCCCCTGCACCACTGCTCCCGCCCCTTCCCTCCAGCTGGAACTTGCTCCTCCATTCCCTCTCTCCCACCCTTCCTGTACTCCGCATTTTCTGTTGGCTGCTGGTGTGTTCCGTACGGTGCTCAATCCACCTCCCTTCCCATATTCCGCCTGTCGCCTTCTGACTTCGGCCTCGCCCCAACCTGTCGCCCTTATTACAGGAGCAACAGCTGCAGGAGGCGAAGCGGGAGGTGGAGGAGCTGCGGCAGCGGAGCCAGGGCGAAACTGATGCGGAGACAGCAGGTATCCCGCTGCAGGTGGCAGGTTCAGCTGAAGGGTTGGATAGAGCAGGGGAGACAGAAGAAAGTTCAGGAGAAGGGGAAGTAAGAGAAGTTTTGATACCAGGAGGGGTGAATGAGGCAGGAGGGCTCGGGGAGGGCGCGGAGGCGGAATGGAGGCGGCGCTTGGAGGAGCTGGAGGGGCAGCTGAGGGCAGCAGAGGCACGCGCGGCCTCTCTGGAATCAACTGTGGCGGCTGGCGGGGGAGAGGCGCAGGTCAGTGCTGAGCGCACTGGTGACGATGGTGGGAAGAACGAAGAGGAGAGAGGGGGACGTGTTGAAGATGGTGAGAGTGCTGACCAGCCTGCGGGTGCAGAAGAAGGAGAGGATGTGGAGGTGGCAGACGGGGAGGGGGAAGTAGCAGTAGGTGCGGGAGGGTCCACGGATGCTTTTGAGATGAAGCCACGTGCAATCCGTGCAAGTGCGTCTGCAGAAGGTAGGCAGGAGTTAGACCTGGCAGGCGCGATGGCCCTGGTGGAGGAGCTGGAGATGGAGCTGGAGGCCGCGCGCGTGGAGGTGCAGCAGCTCAAGGACGCGGGCGACGAGCTGCAGGCCAAGGTGGAGGCGCTGGAGGAGGAGAAGGAGGAGGTGGCGCGCGAACTGGAGATCACCAGCGAGGACCTCAGGAAGGAGAGGGACCTGGCGGCGGAGGCAGGGCTGGTGGCCGAGGAGGAGTGGCGGAAGAGGCAGGAGGCTGAGCGCGCGAAGAAGGAGCTTGAGAGAGAGCTGGCTAAGAAGGGAGGCAATGCTGGCACTGGTGGCACCGGTGCCGGTGCTGGGTCTGCAGCACAGGGGGGCCACAAGGAAGGGGAGGACGGGGCGGGGAAGAAGGAAGGTGCGGAGCATGGCAAGCAGGGGGGTGCTGGGGGTGGAGATGGGGCAGCAGGCGGACAGGATGGGGACGATGGGATGCACGAGCCGTCCGCAGAGGTGTGTCAGGTGAATCTGAAGCTGGAGCTGTCGGAGATGCGTCGCGAGGCACAGGGAATGCGCCTCAACCTCCACAACTCCAAGCTCGCCCTCACTGCTGCTGAGGCAGAGGTTCTTCGGCTGACGGTGCGTGTGGCGTTTGGGCGCGTGCTGCTGCAGCTGGTGGCACGGTCGCGAGAGATGCATGAGGATGAGCTGATCATGGCCACACGCATGGTGGAGGAGGCCAAGGTGAGGGAGAGCGCAGTGGAGCGCAACCTCTTCTCTCTGCTCAATGAGATCGCTCGCCTGATCAAGGAGCAGCAGATGCAGGCCAAGAACAACGGCGCCACGTACCTCAAGTATAAGATAGGCCCTGCCGAGATCGAGGTAGTGAAGGAGGACCTGAGGCAGTTGGTGCGGTGGGTGCAGACCAAGGCGACGCTGGCCGAGAAGGGGCGCCAGAAGAACAGGGCTGCACGCGTGGGTGCTGCAGGCGTTGCAGACGCAGCGGCAGCCACCGCAGCTGCGGCGGCCGCTGCCAATGCTGCAGCGTCGCGTGCAACTGTAGAGGCAGTGAGGCGGGGCGGGGTCGCAGGGTTGGGCGGGGAGAGTGGGCGGGACTCGGTGGTGCATGGAGGGCCGGAGATGGTGGTGCAGCTGGAGAGGGAGCTGGAGGAGGCCAAGGCGCGGTCAGAGGAGGCGGAGAAGCTGCATGCCATGGTGGAGGGCGTGCGGGAGAAGGAGAGGCGCACGCGCGAGGAGGTGGAGAGGGAGCTGCGCGCGGCACAGGCTAAAGTGGCGGAGGCGGAGATGATGGTGCAGCAGGTGGACGCCCTGCGCAACACAGCGTCCGTGCTGGCTGCGGAGCTGACGGAAGAAGTGAAGGAGACCAAGGTGAAGATGCTGGAGGCGGAGGAGGTGGAGGGGCGCATCACTGCCCTCGAGGCCACGGAGAATGTGATCAAGGCGGATCTGGAGGTGAAGAGCCTGCGGCTGAGGGAGATAGACAGGGACTACCCGTACCTCATGGCGCAGGTGGCGGCAGACGGTGCGCCTGCCAAGCCGCGTGGGTCGATCTTCTCCCTGGGGCGAAGCTCAGCAGAGGCTGCGGCGGTGGCGGCGGCGTCGGCAGCGGCCAAGGAGAGGAAGCGGCTGCTGGATGAGATCCGTGTGATGCGCGAGCAGCTCATCTGGACGCAGGGCTCGCTCACCAAGAGCCGTCAGCGCCTGCCTGAGCTCTACCAGGTGGGTCATGGGTTACAGGGGTTGGTGACGTAAGAGGGGGTGATGGTGGTAGTGGAGAGGGCGGAGTTGTGCTTGTCGGTGGGTGGTCTTGTACATGTTGAGACTCAAGAGTGTGGGGAGAAGGCTGCCACGGTTTGGAGCGGTTCTTTTTCGTCTTCTCCTGAACACAAACTTTTCATTCCTAGTTCTAAAAATCCTCTTTGTTCTTCACCCTTGTATATGTGGCATCTGTTCCCCCTATTGCAGGAGGCGAAGGAGTGTCGGCGCAAGGTGGAGGAGAAGGAGAAGGAGCAGAAGCGTGTGCGGCAGTGGCTGGCAGAGCACGAGCCTATTATTGCAGCCAACCAGGCCAGACAGGCACAGACCGCCGCTGCTGCTGCTGCCCTTGCCGCCTCGGCTCCTCCTCGCACTGCTCCTGCTCGTGCTTCTGCTCCTGCCCCTGCTCCTACTTCTGCTCCTGCGCCTGCACATGTTCCTGCTGCTAGTTTGGGCGGGTGGGGTTTCTCTAGTGACTCCAGCCATAGTGCTGCCAGTGGTGCTGGTGGTGGTAGCGGTGGTGTGTCTCTGCCTGCCAGCTTGGCAAGTGCACGAGTGGTGGTGCCATCAGCCACGAGCTCTGTGGGCGCTGCTGTGGCCAATGCTGCTCACGTGGCAGCAGCCATGGCTGCCGCAGCAGCAGGAGCGGATGAGGGCCGTGCAAGGAGCAGCAGCACGTGGAGCTGGTGGAAGAAGGTGAGGAGCGAAAGATGCTCTTTTCATCTCCTGTTGTCTCCTTTGCATGACTCTCCCCCTCTTGTTGTACCCATATCCTTGTACCTGATGAGTGTGTTTCCCTTGCATTTTCATCACATGTGCCTGGATCCTGCTTTCCGTAACTCTTCGCTGTGGTGTGTGCCACTCAGCATCATCTGTGCTTTCTGCTGTGCCATCCCTCTTCTCGCATTTCCTTGCTCTGCAGAAGGAGGAGCCGGAGCATGTGGAGGAGGAGTTTGAGGAGCCAGCGCGAGAGCAGATCATCATGCTGCCACCGCTCACCAACGACAGTGTGCTCTCCAGTGCCATTGCCGCCTTTGCCAAAGCCAACAGCACCACCAAGATTTCCCCTCTTCAAACACCCTCGCCTCCTCCCCCCACTCCGTCTGGTCCACCCCCCATGGCCCATGGTATGCCCCCGCCTGCCCTTCCCACTTCCCCTCCTCATGCTCCTGCTGTTCCGTCCTCCCCTCCCTCTGCATCGCCGGTTCCTGCTTCTGGTGCCGATGGTGGTGCCATTGACGATGCTCATGCGGAGGATGCTGTTGCTGCTATTTCTTCAGTTGCTGCTCCTGCGGTTGCGGCTGTTGTTGAAGGGATGAACGAGGGAGAAGACATTGAGGGAGAGAAGAAGTGCGAGGAGGAGCAGGTGGAGGAAGAGGATAGTGAGAAGAAAGAGCAGGGAGAGGTTGTTTTGGCAAGTGAAGGAGAGGTGAATAAGGGAGCAAGTGAAGGAGAGGGACGCATTGTAGAGGAAGGGGAGGAAGAAGAGATGGACGCACATGGATGCGAGGGTAACAAGGTGGAGGAGGTGAAGAAGGAGGAGGCTGACAAGGTGGAGGAAAGCGTGGAGATGGGAAGCAAGGACGAGGATGCACCAGTGCAAGCGGTAGCAGAGGGTGATGATTTAGCTCCAAAACAGGATCCTGATGTAGCTGACGCTGTAGGAGGAGCAGAGGCAGAGGCAAAGGCAGGGGCAGAGGCAGGGGCAGAGGCAGAGGCAGAGGCAGGGGCAGACGAAGAGGCAGGGGCAGGGACAGAGGCGGAGGCAGGGGCAGGGGCAGAGGCAGAGGCAGCGGCAAGGGCAGAGGTGGGGACGGAGACAGGGGCAGAGGCAGAAGTAGAGGCGGAGGCAGGGGCAGAGGCAGAGGCAGAGGCAGAGGCAGAGGCCGGTGCGGAGGCAGCGGTAGGGGCTGGGGCAGTGGCAGTGGCAGTGGCAGAGGCAGAGGCAGAGGCAGAGGCCGAGGCCGAGGCAGAGGCCGAGGCAAGGGCAGAGGCGGAGGCAGAGGCAGAGGCAGAGGCAGGGGCAGAGACGGAGGCGGAGGTGGAGGCTGGGGCTGATGCAGAGGAAGGGGCAGAGGCGGAGGCAGTGGCAGAAGAAAATGCAGAAAGAGAGGTGGTTGCAGAGGCAGAAGGAGAGGCACAGGGAGAGGCAGGAGTAGAGGCAGCGACAGAAGGAGAAGCGGAGGCAGAGTTTGTTGAATCAGTTGCTTCGATTCAAGCTGCGACTGAGGTTGGCACAGCAGAGGAGGCAAGCGTGTCAAGCGACTTGGAGCCAGTGGATATTGCCTCAGAACAGGCACAACCGCCTCTTGCTGCTGCTGAGGTCACTGTCGCCACGCACACTGCACGTGCTGCTGTCTCGGAGCTGACACGTTCAGAGCAGCAGGATAGCCAGTGTGAGGAGGCCCCTTCTGCCTCCTTTGCAGCTGTTGAGTCTCCTCCAGGTACTGATGCTGCTGTTGACAGTGCCGAAGCCAGTGATACACCCACTGAACGCCAGGAGGACCCAACTCAAGAACACGTGGCGGCAGAATTGCTCCCAACAGCTGAGCTTATTGATTCTGCGGTCATTGATGCCTCTGAGGATGTAGCTGCTGCGGCTGATGTGGCTGAGTCTGTTCCTACCTCAGCTGAACTGGCGGATGCTCCTGACGCTTCCGATTATGTGGCTGATCCTGCTGGCATCTCCGCTGATGTGGTGGCTCCTGCTGATGTGGCTCCTGCTGATGTGGCTGCTTCTGATGTGGCTGCTGCTGATGTGGTTGCTGCTGATGTTTCTGCTGATGCGGCTGATGCTGCTGATGTTTCTGCTGACGTGGCTGATGCTGCTGATGTTTCTGCTGATGTGGCTGATGCTGCTGGTATCTCTGCTAATGAGGCAGCTGCTGTTGGCGTCTCTGATGACGTGGATGCTCCTGATGTGGCTGAATCTGTTGGTATCTCTGCTGATGTTGTGAATGCTGCTGGTGTGGCCGATTCTGTGGATGTCTCTGCCCTGGTGGCTGCTGCTCATGTTGCTGATGTGGCTGATGCTGCTGATGTGACTGATGCTGCTGATGTGGCTGATGTTGCTGTTGTGGCTGATGCTGCTGATGTGGTTGATGCTGCTGATGTGGCTGATGCTGCTGATGTGGCTGATGCTGCTGATGTGGTTGATGCTGCTGATGTGGCTGATCCTGCTGATGTGGCTGATGCTGCTGATGTGGCTGATGCTGCTGATGTGGCTGATGCTGCTGATGTGGCTGATCCTGCTGATGTGGCTGTTCCTGCTGATGTGGCTAATGCTGCTGATGTGGCTGATGCTGCTGATGTCTCTGCTGATCTCTCCGTGGAAGTGGCCTCTTCCATCAATGTTACTGCTGATGCGGCCGATGCTGCCGGTGTCACCGCTGAGGAGGCGGCCGCTGCTGATGTGGCTAACTCTGTTGGCGTCTCTGCTGATGTTGCAGATGCTGCTGATGTTGTTGAGCCTGCGGATACCAATGTGGTGGCTGCTGCTGATGTGGCTGAAGCTGCAGATGTGGCTGCTGATGTGGCTGAAGCTGCTGATGTGGCTGCTGATGTGGCTGAAGCTGCTGATGTGGCTGCTGATGTGGCCGATGCTGTTGATGTCTCTGCTGATGAGGCTGATGCTGTTGAAGTCTCTGCTGATGTGGCTGATGTCTCTGCTGATGTGGCCGATGTCTCTGCTGATGTGGCTGCAGCTGAGGCTGATCCCGTTACTATCTCTGCTGATGTGGCTGATTCTTCGTGTGCCTCGGCTGCTGTGGCAGCTACTGGTGATGTTTCTGCTGACGTGGCAGATGTTGTTGACGTCTCTGCTGATGCGGCTGTATCTGGCACTGAGGTTGTTGACCCTAATGACATCGTATCTGCTGCTGATGCTTCCGCTGGTGAGGCTGCCATTGCCGATGTGGCTATGGCCACCACGGCAGTGGCGTCTGATCAGGCAGAGCCGGATGTGGTGGAAGAGGAGCAAGCAGCAGGGCTATCAGATGCCCCTGCTGCTCACACCCTCCTTGATGCAGCTGAGCATGGTCAGAATGTACATGAGACAGAGGCAGCTGATGAGGCGGCAGTACGGGATGCCCCTGCGTCCAGCACCGCCGATCTGGACACGGCTACAGCGGGAGAGAGGGAGGTTGTTGGTGAATCGGCGTTGGGAGGGGAAGAGGGGCAGCAGATGGGAACACCTAGAATGGAGGAGGGGCGTGCTGGTGGGAGTGTGCCTGCTGTCACACAGGCAGAGGGGGGTGTAAGCCAAGATGGGGCAGAGGAGGAGGTTGTGAAGCTCTCGGGGAATGTGGAGAAGCAGAGCAGTGGAGCTGATGAGCACGGTGCTCAGTAGAACCTCTTAGGTAACTCTTAGGTAAGAGCTCTCATTGTTCGCTACCCAAAATTCACAAATCTGCCTTCTTCATTGTTGCATCCCCTCATTTCTTCCGTTATGAAACCCATACCTGTTTTCTTCAAGCTTTTCATATATTTATTGCCCCTACTCTCTTCCGTTCCCCTGTTCCTGTTCCCCTCATGCCCTCTTGCTTCCTCACTCCCTCCATTCCTCCTTACATGCCATGTTGTGCAGCGATGGTCCTGTACAAGTTCACTTGCAACATGCTGGTCTGATGTTGGTGTTTGCAATCACAGCCACTGTTTTGGCAGTGCATGCTTTGTTGTGTATGAGGTTGGTCTTACATTCGTTATACCTCAATAATGTTAGTGTCATGATTGGAGAATGTATTATTCAGCTATCTGATAGGATTTGAAAGATATAAAATCATTGTAACGTTTTTACACGACGGAACTCGTCGCCCTCAGGGACGCTGGTTCCTCCATGTCTTTCCCATGCCCGCAGCTAAACCCTAATCAGCCACCCTGGTCCAACCCCAATCCCGTAGTTCTCTGGAATCTTGGCAGACTGACAGGTTTGAATCGGTAGCAAGAGCATGTGCATGTACGTGCGTATGCTTCCAAGCCGCAGCGCATTCACATTTTTCGTGATCACAGCTTGTTTCGAGTAACTGGCGAGCACTGCCCGTAGTATCGCCTCGTTGCGTAGGTAGACGTTGCTGGAACCTCCAGGAGCCTCTCCGTTTGCCGTCATCCTCTGGTCCCTGCCTTCCCCCAGTCTCCCCACCTGTCCGTCACACGTGCCTCGTACCGCCAACCCTGCATTGCATCCGTCATCTCCTCTGTCTCTCCTGCCACCTATCCCCATTCCCCTCGCAAGTCCTCAGCTCCCCTCCTCCCGTTTAAGCCAAAGCCTTTGCTAAAGCACCCCTGCACCGCCACCGTGACCAGCATCACTGTCGTCTTTTCCAACACCTGTCGCAGCGTTCATCCGTGCGGAGCCTCGCTACCAGAAACGCCTTCCTTAGGATCCCCTCCTCGTCCTTCCCGCTCCCCGGGTACCGTCACCTCTCGCCGCACCTTACCCCATTGCGCACGCTCGTTGCCGGCAGTGGCAGCGCGAAGCATGCATGGGTCGGCCGGGGTCAGCCCAGGAGGGTGTGAGGGGAGCAGGAGCAGGGGCGGGAGCAGTAACAGGCGGAGGCGATGGGGGAGAGAGTGATGCGGCCGCTGCTGCCGCTGAGCTGGGGGAGCAAGCAGCGGTGGCCGTGGGGCTCAAGCCGCGGGGGCTGCTGCCTCTGGAGCGGTTAGAGTTCAGGGACCTGCTGCGGCGCAAGGGAGCCATGGCGGGGTACCTGCAGTGCCGGTACGCGCTCACCTTGTAGTCTCTTCACCCGCCTCGTCCCTCCCTTGCACTCTAGTGCTGCCTCTCCGCGCCTGCAGCTCAGTCGTCGCGTCCTCACGCTTCCCACCCTCGCCGCCACTCACGAATGCTACAAGCGTCCTCGTTTCCTAGTCTCAGATCCCTTGTGTTTTCTGCTCTCCCTTACCACTAGAACCTGCCTTTCCTCCCCCAACCCCCTCGCAAATCTCGTTCCCCTCGTCCTCCCCCCCCACCCCGGCCCCGCTTCCCCTGTCCCTCCTCTCTGCGCGGCAGCAACATGGTGCTGACGGCGTGGTACGCGGACGTGTCTCAGTCGCTGCCCCTCGCGACCTTTGGCGTGCCATGCATGCCGCTGCCGGGCGAGCCCGCGTGGCATGGCGTCATGCGCCACGTGTACACGTTCCTCAATGACAAGGTGCGTGCTGCACGGGCAAGGCGGGAGCAGTGCACTCCCGCCTTGCAGAGCGATGTTGGGTAAATCTAAGAAACAACTTCCCCCTTCCTCTTTCCCTCTGCTCCGCCCCTTGTTGTTGCCGCCATCCATCCACCTACGTTGTTCTCACCCACCCCTCCCTTGCGCATCAGGCCTTCATCAATCTCTGCAAGGCTGGAGACCTGCCCGCCTCGCCCGCCCCCTGCTACTGCCACTCTACCCCACTCGCACCAGCAGCACCCCTTGCAGTCAACTCATCCCCACCACACCTCGCACCAGCAGCACCCAAGCCTCCGACCACCCCGTCTCCAGCATCACCTGTCCCCCCTTTGCACGGGCGGCGAGTGGTGGTGGTGGGCGCGGGGCCGGCAGGGTTGACAGCAGCGCGGCACCTGGTGCGGCTAGGGGCGCGCGTGGTGGTGCTGGAGGCGAGGGAGCGCGTGGGGGGGCGAGTGCACACAGACTGGACTTCCCTCTCCGTACCCGTGGACCTGGGCGCCAGCATCATCACAGGCGCCGCCCCTGACCTACACGACAACCTCCCCCCGGACCTCTCCGCGCTGCTGTGCCAGCAGGCGGGGCTGCCGTGCGTGGTGTTGAGAGAGGCGTGCCCGCTGTATGACGCGGTGCGAGGGGGCAGGGTAGCAGCTGATGTGGATGCGCGCGTGGAGAGGCAGTTCAATCGCCTGCTGGATGATCTCGCGGGGGTGGCGGCGCAGGAGGGGCAGGGCGCTGTGCACATGTCCATGGCGCAGGGCGTCATGCAGACGCTGGGAGAGGCGTTCGGGCGGGAGAATCTCGTGGGCGTGCATGGGTCGCTGGCGGAGGGACAGGGGCTGGAGCGGGTGCGGGTGGAGGGGGAGGGGCGTGGTCGGGTGCAGGGGGAGGGTGGTCGGGAGGGGGCGAAGCACGGTGGTGGAAGAGAGGCATGTGCAGAGGATTTTGGTGAGAAGAAGAGACGCAGGGAGGGGGCGGGCAGGGGAGGATTGAAGGGGATGGTGGCTGAACAGGCGAGCAGGGATGGCTTGGGTAGCAGGCAGAAGCACGATGGGGACAGTAATGGTGGCGGCGGTGGTGCGCTTGATGCTGCCGTATGTGGGGGGGGAGCGACGGCACTGAGTATCATCACGGGCGGCAAGTGGAACGGCGCTGCTATGCCTGCTGTGGATGGCAGTGGTGCTGCAGAGGACGGAGGGGGAGGTTGTGGTGGGCTTGCAGCTAAGGCCGTGGTGGGGATGAGCGAGGGCGGTGGGGTGAAAGAGGAACAGCTGGAGAGGGCTGTTGGAGGGGTGGAGCAGATGAGCAGGGAAAATGAGGCACAGGGGATGGGAGACGGTGTGGAAGGAAGAAAGGTTGGGAAGGAGGGGGGAGAAGGAAAGGAGGAGGAGGAGGATGAGGAGGAGGAGGAGGATGCGGAAGGGAAGTTGGGCATGGATGGGGAAGGCAGGAGCGAGTGGGGGGCGGAGATGAAGAGGGAAAGGACAGGTGGGGAGGGAAGAGTTCAAGAGGAGACAGATGGAGAGGAGTGTGGGCACGAGGAAACACAAGACGGGCATGAGACAACACAAGGGGGGCTGGACATGAAACAAGAGGGGCAGGAGAATACACACGAGAAGCAGGAGGAAACAAAAGAAGGGCAAGGGAAAGCACAAGAGCGGCACGAGGAAACACAAGAGGGGCAGGAGAAAACACAAGAGAGGCTGGACATAAAACAAGAAATGCTGGAGAAAACACAAGAGGGGCAGGAGGAAACACCAGAGGGACAGGAGAGAACACAAGAGAAGCAGGAGAAACCACTGGAGGGACAGGAAGAAACACAAGAAGGGCAGGAGGGCACACAGGAGGAGCAGCAGGCAGCAAAGGAGGGAGCGAGCGCAGCAGTGATGAGTGCAAGCGAAGCGAGGGGCGTGATGAGCCATGTTGGTGAGGGTGGGGCTGAAGCGCCTTGTGTGTTCCCCTCCACACGCCGTGGCGGGGAGAGAGAGGGGCGGCAGGGCGCTGGAGAGGCGTCCACAAAGGGGGAGGAGAGGGAGGGTGGCATGTGTGACGGTGGCGGGGATGTGCGGGGTAGCACGGAGGGTGGTTGTCGCAGCGCGGAAGGGTGCGACAGAATGGTACAAGGCACGAGCGACTCTCCAGAAGGGCTTAGGTGGATGGGGAAGAGGAAGCGAGCAGGGCTGGAGCCAACGGAATCAGGACACGTGGCTGCATTTGGTGGGCAAGGAGGGCAGGAGGCAGTGAGAGTGCGAGGTGTGGTGGTACCGAGTGAGCGGAGCAGCAAGAGGGCGCGGAGGGGCGAGGGGGAGGAGGGCAGGGCGGGTGGTGCAGACGCGGCGGAGGCACCAGGAAGAGGAGCGGGTGTTGTGAGGGAGGCAGGTACAGGGTCGAAGGTGCAAGCGGTCAAACGGGACGACCTGCAGGGGGTAGCGAGTCACGATGGGGGGGAGGGCGAGGGTGGGGATGCAGACACGAGTGGGGAGAATGGGAGGGGTGCAGGGGGCATGGAGGTTCGGACGAGGGCTCAAGTGAGGCGCGCAGAGAGGCTCAAGGCGGAGCAAGGGGCGTGTGGGGCAGCGAGGGTCCCTGGGGGTGGGGAGCACGGAGGAGCGCGGGTGAGTGGAAGCGACAAGCAGCGGAGGGCAGTGAAGGTAGATAGTGCAACGGGGCAGGACGTGCACGGGGCGGGGGAGTCTGGGAAGGGAGGAAGGGATGAGAATGGAGGTGTGCAGAGTGGGGAGCAGGTGCAGGAGAGGGCGAGGGGGCCTGTGACTCGCGGGCAGAGCAGGGGCACGATGGAGAGAGAGCAGCGCAGCAGAGAGAGCAGCAGGGAGAGGCATGGGCATGGGGAGCAGGGCAGGGAGGCAATAAAGAGGGGAACGAGTGCGCAGGCAGGGGGGCCAGGAATTGCTGGCAGGCTCCCCGTTGAACACGCGGCGGAGAGGGGTGTGAAACGGGAGGGAGGAGGGAAGGGGGCGGAGGCGAGGGGCAGCAGCAGCAAGGTGGTGAGGGACGTGCGGAGGCGGTCCATTGCCGACCTGGTGGCCGTGCTGGATAGCAAGGAGGAGGGCGCGCTGGGGGAGAGCGGGCAGAGCCTCAATGGGCGCGACCAGGAGAGGAGGGACGTGGAGCGGCGGGTGCTGGGGTGGCACTTTGCGAACCTCGAGTACGGGTGTGCCACAGACCTCACACGCCTGTCGCTGCCGTTCTGGAACCAGGACGATGCGTTTGGGGGCTTTGGCGGGCCGCACTGCATGGTGAAGGGCGGGTTTGCACGCGCCATGGCGCAGCTGGCTCAGGGCGTGGACGTGCGCCTGGGCCAGCCCGTCACTGAGGTCGCGTGGGGGGAAGATGAGCGCGCACGGGGTGCTGGGGCTGGCAGGGAGGCGGATGGGGTGGAGAGAGGGGAGCGCAGAGGGGGTGAGGCGCGGTGTGGGAGTGTGGCCGGAGTGACGGATGGTTGTGCGCCGTGGGGGTGCTGTGGGGCTCCCACAGAGGCAGTTGCTGACATGGAGCAAGAGAAGAAGGCGGTAGGCACACAGGAGACACACCCACACACCAACGGACATGAAGCGGCAACAGCAGGAGTAACATCCCCAGCAGCGGCAGCAGCAGCAGCAGTGCATGTCACGACAGCGTCAGGGGAGGTGTTCCCGTGCGATGCAGCGCTCATCACAGTACCTCTGGGCTGCCTCAAGGCGGGCGCCGTGGCGTTCTCACCGCCGCTGCCCGCATGGAAGGCGCGGGCCATCGAGCGGCTGGGGTTTGGCACGATCAACAAGGTGATTCTGGAGTTTGAGCGCGCATTCTGGGACCCCCATGTCGACTACTTCGGCGCTGTCGCCCACCCGCACCCCTTGCAGCGTGGCAACTGCTTTCTCTTCTGGAACCTGCAGCGCACCTGCGGTGCTCCTGTGCTGGCGGCGCTCGTTGTGGGGCGCGCTGCGATGGCCATGGAGGGCCGTGGGGAGGGGCATGGACAGGCGGAGGGGATGGGAGTGGATGGAGTGGGAAAGGGGAAAGGGGACACTGGAGGTGAGGGGTCGGCGGCACGAGGGAAGGGGAAGGAGGAGAGTGGTGGTGAGGGCGGTGGGAAGAGGGAAGAGGGTGAGCGCACGAGGAGGAGGAGTGCGCGGCTCAGGAGGGCAGAGGGGGGCGGAGGCGGGGATGAGAGGCAGGGGGAGGGGGACATGGCGGAAGGGGAGAGGCAGCGGAAGGAGCGGGTGGTGCAGCACGCAGTGCGTGTGCTCAAGACCATCTTCGGCCGCGGCAACGTGCCCAAACCCAAGGCCACCGCCGTCACCTTCTGGGGCACTGACCCTTACAGGTAAGTCGTGATGTTCCCCTTCCTTCTCTATGCAGTATGCGCACTTCTCAAACCGCCCTTCTCCTCCCCGCGTTTTCCTTCCTCCCCATCCATCCCGTTCACCATCCTTTCTTATTTTTCCACTCCCGTGCTCCTCCCGCGCGTCCTCGTGACCTGTGCGTGCCCATTCTCCCTGCCAGCCGCGGAGCATACTCATACGTGCCGGTGGGGGCGTCAGGGCGCGACTATGACCTGCTGGCGCGGCCGGTGCGGGCGCGCGTGTTCTTTGCAGGCGAGGCCACGAGCAGGGAGCACCCCGACACCGTGGGCGGCGCCATGCTCAGTGGTCGGCGCGAGGCTGTGCGGATTGCCGGTGTGCTGCAGGGAGAGGGTGATGTGTGGGAGCAGGCAGAGGCGGCTGCTGCTGCTGTGGCGCATAGGCAGACGGACGAGGAGCGCGAGGAGGTGCAGTGGGTGCGGGAAGTGCTGGGGGCCGCGGAGAGAGGGGGGAGAGGAGGGGGGCAGTGGGGGGATGGGGTGGAAATGAAGGGAGTGGAGGAAGGAGCGGATGGAGAGAGGGGAGAGGGAAGGGGTGTGGGGGATGGGGGTGATGACGATGGTGGGATAAGAAGAGGTGGGCGGTTGAGAAGCAATGGTGATGCTGATGGGGAGGATGCAGGGAAGAATGCTGGGAGGGAGGGCACATGGCATGTGTGGGCGCACCTAGATATAGGGCATAGCGCATGTGTGCAGGTGGCAGGGGAGGAGAGGACAGGGCAGGAAGAGCCAGGACGTGACACAGGGAATGGTAGAGGCGCTGAGCATGTAAGGGTGGAGAGACACGCATGTGAGAGGGGTGCAGAGGTGTGCGGTGCGGTGGAAGAGGGGGACAGGGCGAGGGTGGCTGGAAATGCAAACGGAGGTGTTGAGAAGGCCAGCAATGAAGGGGGGATTGGGGAGGAGAGGCCGGAGGGGGCGACTGCGGGTTTGCTGAGCGAGCAGCGCGGTTCAGGTGGCATGGGGAAGGGCGATGGCGTGGGTGCTGCTGTGCATGGCGTGCACGCGAAACAGGAGGGGGGCAAGGGACGGGGCGCAAGAGGGGAGAAGGGCGGAGAGGAGGAGAGGGTGTTGAGGAGGCGAGAGACGCAGGGAGAGCTGCGGCGAGGTGCGGCACTGGCTGCTGTGCTGCGCATGTCTGGTGGACTGCGCATGGGCATGGCAGCAGTAGGCAGTTCAGAGCGCCACGGGGAGGGGAGTTGCGCGCATGGAGTGGGTGTGGAGAGGGAGGGGGGCGTGCACACGGTGGGGGGCCGCGTGTTTGTGTGCCGCGAGCTGCTGCAGCTGCCCAGGAGGGTGCTGGAGGCCGTGGCGGGCAGCAGGGAGGGGCTGGAGCGAATCAGCGAGTGGATCGTGGTGAGTGTGGGGTGAGTGTGGGTGTGGCTGTGGGTGTGAGTATGAGGGTGGGCGCGTGAAACTGGTGTCGTGGCGCACTAGCTCCTGCATCGTCGATCCGTGGATCACATGTTGCCATTCACCGCACCACAACCACCCTCTGTCCTTTCCCCCCACCACACCAGGAGTCCCTGCACTGCAGCTCGTCCCAGGTGCTCACTGCCTCTCTGCGCCTGTTGCTTGCTGCTGCCACCTGCCCTCGATGCGTCCGCTCCTCAGGTCAGGCTCGGAGATCACACACATATGCACGCGCCCCCTTTCCTCCCCACCATACACACATGCACGCACGCATGCAGGCACACACTCTCACACACAACACATACACTCCCACACCCTCATACCTTCCAGCACCCCATGCTGCATCGACTGCTCATGTCAGCGAACCCTCCCGCCCTGTTCACCTTGGCGCTTTCTTTCTCCCACTCCTTCCCTCGCATCCCCTCCCTGCCTTACGCCTCCCCCTTCGTTCCCCTCGCCGTGCAGGAGTGGCGGTGTGTGTGCGTGCGCTGCTCACCGTACCACGTGTGGGCAGGGAGGTGCGGTCGCTGGCAGCACGGCTCATGCGCCTCTGGCACACGCTGGGCCACTTCCCTGCCCCCACCGCTGCTGCTGGGGGGGCCAGCGCTGCACTTGCAGTCACGGGGGAAACGACAACGGGGCGAGAGGGCAACGGCCAGAAGAGGGGTGAGGCAGAGGCAAGAAGTGATCGGGTGGAGGTGTGTGGAGACGTGGGAGGCGCAGACATGGGGGTTGGAGGGGGTGGAGCAGGGGCGGGTGAAGCGGGAGAGGCGGAGGGAGAGGCGGCAGTGAGTGGAGATGAGCGCAGCTCTCGAGGAGGCGGGCTGGCAGAGGGGGAGGAGGGAGGGACGGGAAGAACAAAAGAGGGGAGCAGGGTGGAAGGTGAGGGAGAGGAGCAGGCAGGAGGGGGGCCAGGTGGCACGGTGCAGGGAAGGGGACGTGATGGGTCGCATGATGGCTTGAGTGGTAAGGCGTGCCTTGAAGAGGAGGGCCGAGAGCAGGGAGCAAGTTGCGTACAAGGGAGAGGAATGAAGGGGAGTGGAGAGGATGGGATGACGAATGGAAAGAGTTTTGCGGTGATGGCGAAAGGGAGTCGTCAGTCTCCGCATGCTGCTGCTCATTCGCCCTGTCATACTGACGCTGCTGCCTCTCCTCCTGCCCCCCCTCCTTTTCCTGCTGCCGCTGCTGCTGTTGCCCATACTGCGACTGCTGGTCCATGTATCATGTCAGGCAGGAAAGAAGCACCAGCTCAAGTCAGCACAGAGGGCGCTTTATTGGCGAGAGTGGGGGCGCCTGAAAGCGTGCGCACGGTCAAGTGCGGTGAGAGCATTCAGCAAGTGGCAGCGGAGGGGATGGGAAGCAGTGGTGCAGCAGTGAGAGTGATTGCGGTGGCAGTGGCAGCTGCAAGACTGGCAGCGGAGGTGAGGGAGGAAGTCAAACAGGCTCTGCTCTCACTTGTGCTCCGAATTCTCTCTTCTCTACATCCCTTCATTGTCCTTTTCCCCTACAGTGCTTTCCCTGTCTTCTCTTGCTGGTGCTTACCTGCCATGCCCCTCCCATGGCCCTCTCTGCTGTGCGTGCAGGCCTTGGCAGCAGGTGAAGTGCAGGCAGGCCAGCCACCTATTGCTACTGCCCACCCGACCCCAGGTGCACCTCGCAGCAGCAGTGCAGCATCAGCTGGTGCCACAGCAGCAGGTGCAGCAGCAGTGGCACAGGGCAAGCAGCAACAGGTCACTCGGTTGCGCAGCCAACGACAGTCACCCCTGGCAAGTGGGGCGGCTGCACCAGATGCGTCTGGGGGTGGCATGGGGGTAAGCAGATGCAGGGCATGGCAGCAGAGTAGGGGGGAATGGGAGGGGGCAGCAAATGGGCCAGGGCGAGTTAGAGGGAGGGTGAGGGCTGGGGCATCTGCATGGGCTTGGGCAAGAGCGAGAGTCGGGGAGGAGGAAAGGAGATGGGCAGGCCTGGATGGGAGTCTAAGGACAGGAGACGAGGAAGAAGAGGAGGAGGAGGAAGAAGAAGAAGAAGAGGAAGAGGGGGAGGAGGAAAAGGAGGAGGAGGAGGCAGTCCCAGGGCAGGCGAATGGGGTGGGAGCAGGCGCACACAAGAGGTTACGGGTGATACAGGCAGGCGGCACTGCTCTGCCCCGTGGTGGTGGGCTGTCATGGCAAGCCTGCCATGTGAATGGCGGAGAGAGAGGAGTGGCCGACAGTGGGAATGAGGAGAAGCCGAGGGGCGTGAGTGGGAGTGGTGTGAGAACAAGGTCGCAGGCACAGGCGTGCGTGCAAGCAGTGGACAAGGGGGCGGGTGCAGGGTCACCAGGTGCAGCCGCCTCGGGGGGTGGTGGAAGGGAATCATCTATGCACAGTGGTGGATCAGGCTTAGGCAAAGGGATGGTGGGTGTTGGCAAACGCCGGGTTTGTGTGGCTGAGTGCAGAGCAGCTGTTGAAGGGTACGTGGTGTCCCTGGTGGGCCCACTGGGGGAGAAGCAGATGGTGACACGGCAGCAAGTGAGGGAGATCAGTCGCAAAGCAACAGACGAGGTGAGCAAGCAGGGCGTCTTTGTATTTGCAGAGGCATGGTGGGTTTGTGTGAGAAGAGGATGCCAGGGCTGTGGCCCCGCCAATCCGTCACATCTGCACGTGCACATGTAGCAATGCAGCACCATGGGAGCAGCCCAGCTCGTGGATGATGGTGCCTGTATAGTCGTGGGAAGCGCCCCCAATGGGCATGATATTAGCAGTGCTGTCGCCATTCCGTGAGCAGGATAGATTCTCTATATGCCAGGCCCAGACGGTTTGCCTGCAAATCATTCACTGTGCCGTGCCAAACCCCCTCACGATCTATCAGGTGATGGAGAGTGTCCGAGAAGGGGGCGGTGCCATGGACCCTGACGCCTGCCTCACTCCGCACCTCAAGTCGACGGTGAGGGCATTGCAGAAGGTTGGGAGGGTATAAGCAGCATGGCATTGTTGTCACGCTTGCAGTCTGTGCATGCCATGCTGCTGCAAGCCATTGTTGTGCTGTTTTCCTGCACCAAAGCACATTGCCATGAGCTGCTGCAAGTGTTGCTGCAAGCACATTGCCTAGCCTTTACTGTTTCACGTTCTTGCTTGTTTTGAGGGAAAATTTCCTGCCTCCATGTTTTGAACGCGTGGTATCATTGCTTGTGTCCTTGTTTTCTGCCCCGTTCTTGTCCAGATTCGTGACACAGTAGACAAGTACATGAAGGCATACATTGACTCTTCCACAGAAGGCAAAGAATCAGGTTCGATCAAGAGGAGAAGTATACCCTAAGTCCATTCAGCCTTGATTATTTTGTGGTAGTTGCTCCTGATGTATGATTTGCCTCCTATTATGAAGTACAATATCTTCATTCTTGCTCAGAAGTCAAGTGCCCCGTGTTTGCGTTGAATTTGCAGACCAGGCCCCTAGATTCGTTTTGAGGTAGTCTGACGCCTCAGAGTACACCCCTCTTCCTAGTCTGGCTGTCAGAGTTACCTATTTTTTTTAGTCTGAAAATTCAGACAAGCACAGCTTCTTTTGTCTGAACTGTCAGAGTTACTTCAAATTTTAAGATGTTCATGCAGTTTCATAATAGCATAGCTATAATAGCATTGAAGCTGATTACAGCATACCAACGCAATTGTGCGGCTAGAAATGGGGCACTCTGATTGGTCATTTGTCAAGAGTTAGGATCACTGAGCAGTCAGGGTCGAGGTGTGGGCATCAGACAATGGCCTCGTGCAAGTGCCAAGAGTGGCAAGCTCCCAATCAGCTGACCTGGTAGCAGGCACGGTATCGCTCGGAACTTTTCTGTGCTGGGCGCGCTGGCTGCAGCAAGAGTTTTCAACTGTGTACACCCTATGTGCGCGGAATATTGTCTCATAAAGTTACATATTTGAAATTTTGACTAGGTCTGGGAAGGGGAAATGATGTGCGGTTCTGCTGAAGTACGAGACTCATATGTGACACGGCTTTCGGTTGCACCAATTCGCTTTTCGCCATGTGCGATTCGCTAAAATCGTTTTGGCCATGTGCGATTGGCTATCTAGTTTCACAATTTAAGGGTTATTATAAGCCCCCGATGAATTCAACAGTCGAGATAGCGTCGACAAAGTAGTGTATCCTGGTACCCCTACTCGAGCAGTTTTATCCGGAGGAAATCGTTAGTGCTGGCCCGTAAACACGTGGGTGTATCGAAAAAAAAGTTTCGATGAAGTTTCGTTCCGATAACCTTTCATTCAGTCGGCGGAAACCCCTGTATAACCGGTTTCAGAGTGGATCCCCGATACAAGTTTGAGGCTCAGCCTACACAACTATGACTACTCTGAAATTTCAGACAAGTCAGTTAAAAAAACTCTGAAAAATCAGACAGGGTGCATAAAAAAATTCTTTGAGTTCAGACTAGGTACAAAAAAAAATTCTGAACGGACTCTGAATCAGACTCCAAAGTCTGATATCTAGGGCCCTGTTGCAGACCCCATGCATGTTTTCGTGTACCAGGGTTGAATTGAACCACATCCTTACGAACTTGTAAGGTTGATGCCATTGAAAACCATAACCCTCTGAATGAGGAATGGAATGGAATGGTTAGGACACATTCAAGCCCAAGCTAAGGAAGTATTGGTATTATGGTTACATTGCCATGAAAAATGTTAGCGGTTATAGTATAGTTACCGTATTTTCGTTTAGTTTAGTGGTTTTGCTCTTGTTAGCGCATCGTGCGCTGTGTTGAGGTTTCTCCGCCTCCCTCACCAGGTTGTCGTGCATCCCGATTTGACACGTCTGGGCCCCCAAATTTCTCTGCTAGCATTGGCCAACACGAACCGCAACATTCAGCTCCCCATTTTGGGGTTACGTGAGGCGAGCAATTTTCAGATGAAGGTTTCTCTTCTCTTCCCTTCCACTAGAGCAAAGTGCGTGGGGTGGGGTGGGGAGAACACGAGCTGTTGACGCCTCGAGTCGCGGCTAGTGAGAGGGAACCAAAGGAGCATCGAAGTCGTATCGGGGTTTACATTCTGCCCGAGAAACAAATGTAGGTACATGAAAAGGATGGTAACCTCAGGAAATAGCAGTTCGCATTTCTCAGCTACCTAGTATGGAACCTTCTTGATAGAACTTTTTGGGGGATCGGGAATGTTTTGGATCCGATTTCCACAGCAGAACACGCTGGATGGGAACTGTGCTTGGCGCCTTTCCTCCCTAGCCATCACCACGCATCTCATCAAGCTTGCACTGCTGACCAATGTGGCACCTCGTCACCTGGCTCCCCCGTCACAGCAGTTTGATTGGTTCACTACACTGTCTTGTTTGACCACTTCATGATGATAGGCGGCAATACCGCTCACACCTTGTTGGCCACTTCGTGAAGGTTCGAATTGCACGCATACAAGAGCTTATTCTTTGACTGCAGTAATAAGGGACGGAAAGCACCAAGGGAAGTCATGCCGAGATGCTAAGAGCCACAATGACCCTTGGTCGAGGCGCCTCGCAGCGGTTGATACACATGCCGCCCGCACGAGGCCGATATCTCTACGAGAGAAAGGATCGATTGTGCCGTCGCGGAAAATTAGCAATGCGCGATAACTTAGTCCTCCTATCCGTGTTCATGGTCGTGTTAGGCGTCGCCTGCCCCTCGCAGGCTGCAATTGCGACCGTGTCACCGCCGAGGAACGGGCTGTCGCGCCCGGCGTCGCAATTGGAAAGCGCCGGCAAGGCCTCAGGGTTTCGTCGCCTCTTGGGTCAGGAAGATGTTAAGATGTTGACCGTTCGGGAGGGCGAGTGGGTAAAAGTGTCAGATATTGTCGCGCTCGAAGCTGGGCGGGCGGCCGAAAGCCCACCGAACAGTGAGAGCGCGGCGAGCCAGCAGGGCAACGGAAACGGTTCCGTGAAAATGTTCGATAAGGGGAACGGATTAGCGAATAACGAGGCATTTGACTATGGAAATGGAAGTGGCGCAGCGGGACTGGCAACGGTGAGGAGTGGGAACCCAGAGGGGACGGGAGGAGCAGAAGAGAATGGTAGGGCAGGTGGCGGAACTGGTGGAGCGGCTGGTGGCGGCGATACGATGGGGGCTGAAAAGAAAGAGGAGGAGAGTGGTGATGACTACGTGGACGATGGTGAGGGCGACTGGGCAGCGCAGCCCGGGATGAGAGTGCAGCAGACGACGAACGGCGAGGAAATGGTGGATATGTTCGAAGATACCGCCACAGACGCGGAAATGAAGGAGCTTGCTCAGAACTCCGGGCACGCGAGTGCTGCGCAAGGGGGGGTGCAGAACCAAGAGCAAGGCGGAACTTCGCAAGCCCCGGCGTCGGTGCTGCCTCTGCCTCTCGCAAGCGCCAATGCGCCCGCTGCGGACGTGGCAAGAAGAAAGGACTCGACAGGCGCGGGGCAACGAAAAGGCGAGCAAACGACTGGGCAAGTGCCGAAACAGCAGAAAGCGCAGCATGAGGGGCCAGTGGTGCCGCAGATAGACGTGCGGAAACGACAAGCGGCGGGTCGCACGGGGGAAGAAGGACAGCTGACGGAGTCACGGAAACGAGCAGACAATCAGCAGAGCCCCTCCAAGGACTCCCAACAACATGGGGTGGGAGAGGTCGCGAGCGGAAGAGAAGATGGAACAACAGAAGCTGGCAAAGCAGGAGTGGGCGGGAATAACGGTGCTGGAGGTGATTACCTGGACGGCGACGGCTCGGACACGACTGGTGACGGCGGTGGTACGACAGGCAAGGACGAAGTGATACCGCTTGGCGGGGACGTGGAAGGTGGGGACGGGGACGAGAGGGACTATGGCACGGAGGCTGAGACCATGTCCCAGGAGAGCATGGCCGGGGCTCCCAGGGAGACTGACAGCAGCTGGACTGGGATGGACGTGGGGACCGCCAAGGGACAAGGGTACGACACCGGCAGCGTATTCGCCGCCGCGAACAACGGGAGAGAAGACGTTGGCATGATGTTTCTTAAGAGTAATAGCATGGTGGGGAAGCCGGTGGTGGACGCGAGCGCTGGAGGCAGGGAGAGGAAGCCTCCGGGAGGAGGAACTGGGGAGACGGGGTATGGGGGCGAACGGAAGGCGGGCAACCACAGGACGCGAACTAAGCCGAGGTTCAAAGCGGTGGACTGTCAGTACAGAGAAAAGGGCGCGTTCAGCAAGCTTCATCGGTGCGCTGTAGGCTACGCTGGTCACGCCGGTGTGACAGGTAAGCCGCGGTTGGCAGGGGTGACAGTAGGCCAAGTTAAGCGGGACTCTGTCTTTGGCACGTGGGTGACATGGGAAGCAAGAAACGTCATTGAAGCGGGATTCTTCTTATTCAAATTTAACATATAAACTCAAACAATCTGACTAATTGTGAATAACCTCTACCTTTTCCCTCCTTGCCTTGTTTTCTGTTCCCGTCAACAACTGCCAGGCGGCTATAAACGTCCGATATACCTGGTTACCAGCGACGACGACATGGTCGAAAACGTGGCACCTGGCACGATACGTTTTGGCCTCAACCGCTACCGTCGATCGGGTGTCACGATCCGGTTCGCGTCGTCCATGCTCATCAACCTGAAGCAGCGCCTATTTCTCCCAGCACATACCACTATAGACGGTCGGGGGGCACGTGTGGCGATTAACGGCGGCATTGTGGTGCACAATGTAACCAACGTGATCATACACAATGTGGCAGGTGCGAGTTGGGGGAATGTGTGGAAACGGTAAATCTCCTTCGTCTGTTGCAATTGAGTTCACTCCATCCTGTCAGATATCTTACTTCCACTCCATCCTAAATCTTTGCTATTCGATTACCTGTCAACCTTCTGACGTCCCCTTTCCCCATCTCTCTGTCACCTGACTCCCTTCATAGTGGGCAATCTTCCTGGCGACCATGACGTCATCCACATATCCAATTCCACACGTGTATGGGTGGACCACTGTGCAGTGTACAACGCCATTCGGGGCACTGTAGATGTTGTATACGGCTCTACAGATGTCACCATTTCCAACTGTTACATTCGTAACAAGTACGTCAGTCACTCTACCTCTTACATCTTCATGCTTGCGTCAACTCGGCTGTCAATGCATTGTGTCATAAAACAATCTTTCCTGTGTGTCTATAAGCTCGTGCATCATCTTACGTACACTTTTCCTTCCTCCTGTACCACCCTTCTTGTTTTGAAGGAACCTCACCATGCTGCTGGGAGCAGATGATGGGGACATGAACGATGCCAACATGCGAGTAACAGTCTACCGCAACTGGTTTGACCAGTCAGGCCAGAGGCAGCCCAAGGCACGCTGGGGCCAGATACACGTGGCCAACAACCTCTACACCAACTGGACCTACTATTGCATTGGTGGGCGGATGTATGCCAACATCAGGTCGGAGAGAAACATTTTTATTGCCGGCACAAAGCGTAAAGAAGTCACACCCTGGTTTGGAGAGAAGAGCCTCCGAACGGCTGGGTTTGACAACACGCCATCCATTCGATCATACAACGACCTGCTACTAAATGGTGCTACGTTTCACCAGTTTACTGGGTACACACGGCCATTCCTGCCTCCTTACGCGCTTGATATTCACCGTGCGGATAAGGTTCTGGCGGATTTCGTTCGTGATAATGCAGGGCCGCAGGTGGGGAGATTCACAGAGCTGGCTTGTACAGAATCAACCTGCATTCAGCAAGGGGATGACGTTTAGGTGGGCACATAGAGGGATAGGAGTCATGGAAGCCAGAAGGACAAAGTAGGGCAATCATGGGGAATTGGGATGACATAACTTTGTGTTTTCGTGGCTGCAGGAGCCTCTGGGCTGAGGGATGCGTTTTATCTTGAGGTTGGTAAGGGGGAGGGATGGGAATAACAAAAGGCTAACTCTGTGCATTCACTCAAATGCAGATAGCTTTGGTATAAGAGCTTTAGCTATTATGGTGTAGTCAATCTAACTGCACATTAGAGTCTGCATACCTACTCCACAACATTAGATTAGTTGTAGATGTCCATTATAATTGCAAGATTATCATGAAGTTATCTACCGTACAAATTACAAGATGCCGCTTGGCAGTGTACCCTCTCAACTCCGACTTCTTGAAATTTCCGCGTCCGTCGAATTTCGAGCCAATTTCGAGGACTTGCGAAAGAGCCGAACCGCCTTTTTTACCACAAATGCCTCGTTGTGCAGCCATTATTGTCCCAGCATTCTAAGGCATCTCCACTCCGACACCACCAGCACTAAGTTTTCAAGATGGCGAGAGCTCCTAGAGCAGCGAAGTCTGTTACTCCCTCCGTGAAGCCGAAGAGACCCTTGTCAGGTTTCATGTTCTTTGCGAAAGACAACCGGGACAAAGTGAAAAAAGAGTCTCCAACGGCAAGCTTTGGAGAAATTGGTGAGTTGACTGATAATGTTACCTTATTATAAGTATCCTTTCACCTGGTGGCTCACTTCAGCTACCGCACCGCACGTTGCAGGAAAGTTGCTTGGTCAACGATGGAGCTCGCTTGAAAGTTCGGAAAAGGGTGCTTATCTCAAGATGGCCGAAGAAGACAAATCTCGTTACATTGAAGAAACAAAGGCCCTCAAGCGGGAGAGTTAAAACTCCTGGCCAAGGCCGTTCGTCGTCTTGACTAAGATATTTTTCTGAAACCACTGCATCAATCTCGAGATGCTCTTGGAGCTTTGAGCCGCGGAAAAGCCTGTTTGGCAGATTTAATCATGGCGTGACTTCATGGCTGTCTGATTTTACATGAGCAAGCGAGCAATGTTTTACATCAGCTTTGTTATTGAGACTGCCTCTTGAATAGGCTTCCACTGTGTGAAATCTTGCCAACCTAAAAGCACAATTTCAAGGCTGACTAGACCACACCTCAAGTAGGGCGTCTGATGAACTGAGTTGGTGAAGTAAAGCGTGCACAAGATGAACTGCCTTGCTTTATCAACTTGGTTTATATTGGGCTTACACGTGACTAGCCTAAAGCATATACAATGCGATGGCCAAACTGCAAGCTGAATAAGCTGGGCAATGCGTTACTGAAGAGTTTCTATCAGCATTTTGAGAGTATGATTAGGAACGAGCCTGGTGTCATCCAATGGTGCCCCTGTTACTGGTGAAAGACGAGAACTAGTCAGCCAATGCTCCAAGCTGCTCCGATCGTAAGTGAACCCGTCTGCTGCAACCACAGGATCAGACATGGTGGTCTGGCGGAGGCACAGGTGGGAGAAACAAAATGACAGGGGACATTGGTTATGGATCAAGATGGAGTGACAGCGCAGTGGGTAAGCAATATAGCAGGCTCACGCGGAACACTCTCGGCACTTGAAGCTGCTTTTCACGAGATGACGATCGCTGAAGACAACTGGCAGAACACCCCAACTTCCTACATTGATCAGAATCAGAGTGAACCAACGGAGAGAAGCTGCAAGTGCTAAGAGGGCATGTCAATCATTCTTACCTTGGATATCGGGCACAAGAATTGCAGGCGTGCAATTCGCCGCCTTCTTTGCATTTCCGCTGCCGCTTCCCTTGCTGCCCGGATGACAGCAGGTAAGACCTCCTCAACAAGGTCCGGGCGCAAGGACCTCCGCCGGTCAGCACACTCAAGAGCCAGAACTAGGACCTCCTCCACAAGTGACCTCGGCCAAGTTCCTCCTGAATCATCCAAATGGCGAGAAAGTGCTGCTACTGCCAATAATATATCACCATCTGTGCCAGCCCAGCATTCAGCAAGCAGCTTGTGGACCCTCCGGACATCAGGTATTCCTGTCAACAGCTGCACCATCACCAGCCCAAATGCGTAGACATCTGCAGAAACAGAAATCTCACAGGTTTCAAGCTCCTCCGGATCTATGTATCCTGTTGTGCCTTGCACCCGCGTTGTCGTTGCACCCTCACCTTCCAACAGACGTGCCAATCCGACGTCACCCACACGAGCACCGAGGTTTGCATCCAGAAGAATATTGTCCGGCTTGAAATCACGATGGACAATGGGGGGATCGTGCAGGTGCAGGTATGCCAGTGCCGACGCCACTTCTGCTGCAATGCGCAGTCTGTCAGACCAAGGAATCGGGCACGTTGGCTGGCCAGTGGAACTAGAAGTTGTGGATGAGTTTGAAGCAGGAAAAGGAAGGTGGGGAGGTGTTAGAGTCCGCTGGTGGCCCTGCTGCTGGTTTCTGTCTACCTCTAGGCTCCGGCGTTGCCTCCGCCTCTGCTGCTGCTTCTTCCTCAACTGCCGCTGCCTCTCATCCTCAGGAGCAACCCTCTCAGTCACACTCTCTTCCTCATCCTCGTCACTGTCGCTCCCTTGAGAGTCGCTACTGCCACCATCCCCCATCCCCGAATCCCTGTCCATGTCCCCGCCACCCATGTCTGCTCCCTCACCATGCAACCGATGCCAGCTCGCTGCTTGCTTCTCCCACTTGTCAGCCTCTTCCCCTCCTCTTAGTCCCCCACCTCCTCCTAGCCCCTTCCCTGCACTACCAGGTGCACAAGTGTCATCGCCCCACATGCCATGTCTCTGGGCAGCAGCTTTGGCGCTCTGAATGGCTGCTTTCGCAGCCGCCGACGCACGCTTCTTGCGAATGCGTGCCCCACGGTTCAACAGGCTCTGCAGGGACCCTCCCGGCAGAAGCTCGTACACCAAGCACTGCTCCTCGGGACAGCACCCCATGAGAAGGAGAATGTGGGGATGCCGCATGCGCGTCAGCACCGCCACCTCTGTTTGAAACTCCTGAGGGCCCTGCCAGCTGGCGCCTGACAGGCGCTTTATAGCCACCTGGCAGCCAAGAAGGGTGCCCCGAAAGACCTGACCAAAGGCGCCCTGACCTAAGAGATTGGCGGGGGAATAACCATCAGTGGCCGCCAGCAGCTGAGAGGAAGAGAAGGTGCGGCAATCACCCTCCCCTGTGATTCCACCTCCACTGCTGCTGTGGTTGGTGCTGGCGATGCTATAGATGAGAGGGTTGGGGATGCTGGCTGACTTGGGAGCGCTTGTGCTTGTGACGCTCGCCTCATAGGCTGCTATGCCCTGCCAGCTCTTGCTCTCTGCCCCCCCCTGCTCACTTGCACATGTGTTGCTTCTGGAGAACGGGTCATGGATCCCATTCACTGACTCTGCCTTGCTGCCAGCCACAGCCAAGCCGGGGATAGCAGAAGCCGCAGCAGAATCAGCAGGCAGAACCCGATTACCAGCTGGCGTGGCAGGCCTGGTGAGCGCTAGTGCGGGTGCAGCAGAGCGAGGTACGGATGCTTGCAGCGGAGACGAGGCAGAGGCGGCAGGAGGGGAGGTGGAGCAGGAGGAGGGGTTGGATGCGGTGAGGGAGGCGGCAGCAGAGATGGCAGCGGCTACAGAGGCGCAGGGCAGGGACCCATGGGACAGCAGGCGGTGCGAAGGGGACGCAGCAGGTGAGTTGCCCATGGCAGGCCGCAGCAACTTGGCGGAATGCATGGGGAGAACCAGTGTGGGGGCCCCTCCGCTGCTCTCAGCTGCATTCTGGCTGTTGGATCGAATCCCCTGCCACTCCCCGCCACCCATGTGGGGGGGTTGCTGTCCCATGTGCTGCACCTTGTGCTGCGAATGCTCTGGCCCTTCCTCTGCCCTCTCCCTCCGCCCACTGCCATGCCTGCCACTGCCAGACGGGTGGTGCTGGGCACCTATCCGCTGCTGCATCCACCCCACAGAGGGCGTGGGTGGCTCCAGCAAATCACCCCCATCCCCTGCGTCCTCACTCCCACTCCCTCCTTCCCCGTTCGCCCCCACTCCTTTCCTCCCCCTCACCACACCCAGCGACACCACAGCAGACGAGCCCTCCACACCCTCCTCACGCTCACGTGCCAAAGCAGCAGCAAGTGAGCGCGATGAACCCCCTGCTCCATCCCTCCGCTCTAACCCCTCCCCACTCTGCATTCCCATGCCATACACACCAGCCGCCCCCTCTTCCCCTGCACGTGTGCATGCGCTGTCCTCGCTCGCGCGGCGCCTGCCAGGTGGGTCAGCAGCGGGCACGACAGCAGTAGCCTCGGATTCAGTGCGCGAGGGTGAGAAGATGGAGCGCGGCGTGGGCAGGCGCAGCAGGCTGCGCGAGAAGGACAGAGAGCGCGTGTGCGCGTGGTGCACCGAGGGCGTGCGTGGGCGCGAGGGGGAGGCGGCAGGGGAGGCAGCGGCGGAGGAGCAGGCAGAGGCGGACGGGGAGGTGCGGGGAGAGCTCTTGGGATGCAGGAACTGGTGCAGCGACAGTAGCGCTGGTGATAGGGATGCCCGAGACGCCGCCACCGCTGCTGCTGCCTTGTCCGCCTGATCGCTCACCGGCTCAGCTGTGCCCTTCTCCTCCTCTCCACTCGTCCATTCCGTTCCCCCTTCCCCACCTGCATTCAGCGGCCCTGCATCGGCGCTAAAGGGCACGTCAGACAGCCCACTGGACATGCTCAGCCGCGACCTCTGCAGCGTGCTGCCACTCACACGCCCCGCCCCGCCGCCGCTGCTGCCACTGCCCCCACCCCTGTCCCCTCCACTCCTGCCGCCACTGCCGTCAGCAGCAGGGGCTGAGGGCCCTGACAAGGCAGCAAGGGCGGCCTTCCCATGCACTCGCCCGGGCGATGACATGGGGGACGCAACAGCTGCTGCTGATCCAGAAACACTGACAGCATCCACCGATGCATCAGCAGCGGAAGAAGCAGCAGAGGTGTGGGAGGATTCCAGGTTATCCACACACTGCCAGATGTCGTACTCACCACCGCCCGCCCCATCGCCCTCCACCCTCTCACCCGCGCGTGCACCGCCAGCCTTGACGCCCTCCCACACGTCAGAGACGGCATCAAACTGCTCGTACGCCGCCAGCTCCTCCTTGAGCGACCGCACCTCCACCGACCGCTGCCTCTCCACACTGCGCCGCTCAAACGCAGACGCACCCATTCCTGCACCCACGCCACCAGTACTCTCGCTGCCCCCCACCCAAACGCCACTGGCACCGGCACCCCCTTTCCGCTCGGGTGTGTGCGGCGCGGCCCACACGGGGCTGGCTGTGGCGGAGCCTGGCGTAGCAGCGTGTGTGGCACGCCAGTCGGCGGCAGCGGCGCGCAGCAGGCTGCTGTCAAGGCTCTCCACCCGGTGCACTGACGACGGTGTGAGCGGCCGCGACGAGGGGCGCGCAAAGGAGGGGGCGGACGGGAGTGGCGAGGGGAAGGCGTGGTGATGCGGGGAGGCTGCAGCTTGCTGCTGCCAGGGCTGCGGGTCCCCTGCACGCACGTCCACCTGCTGCGCCCCCTGCAAGTCCCCAATGCGCATGGCGCCCTGCACGTCTGGGATGGCCAGCAGCGACGCTATTAGCGCATCTATGCTGTCCTGCTGCACCCGCCCCTCACCCTGCCTTGCTCCCGCCTCCGCCCTCACTTTCGCCGCTGCTGCTGCCACTGCCCCTGTTGCTTCGCTGGCAGCTGAATCTGCCCGATCTGCTTCGTGTGTGCCCGGAGTGCAAGCAGGCTCAGAGGCCGTAGGGAGGGAGGAGGAACGTGGGGAAGAGGCGAGGGTGGGGCGCGGTGCGTGGAGGGAGGAGGAGGTGGGCGAGGGTTCGTCGTCACCGGGCAGAGGCATGTTGAAGTCGTCAGTGTACCGCCACCACTCCTCCGTCTCCCCTGCCGCCTCCTCCTTCCCTTCCACCCCTTGCAACGCCTGCTCTGCTCCGTTCCTCCCCGCTCGCCCTTGCAGTGCAGCTTGCTGTGCGTCGTCACCCCCCACCCCTTGCCTCTCCTGCTCCATCGCACTGCCATGCCCTGTCAGCCCCTCCCCTACCCGCCCCTGCTCCCTCTTGCCAACCTGTGCTACGCTGCTGTATGAAGCTGTCTTCCCTTGTTCATTCCCCACATCGCCCTTATCCCCTGCCCCCACGCTACCCTCCATCCTCCTCCCTTGTTCCACACACTCTTCTCTCCCTTCTCCCCTTTCTCCCCCATCAACGCCCTCCACACCCCCCTCGTCGCTGCCTGACCCATCCACGTCCCCACCACGCTCATGCCCGGCCAGCCCGCCCTGCTCGCCGCTCTCCACTGTGCCCTGGGTGGCGCTGCCGGTGCTGTCGCTGCGCCACATGCGGGCAAAGATGTTGCCGCTGCTGTTGTTGCGCTTGAGCACCGCGGGGTGGCGCAGGGGCGACGGCATGCACGCCGCGCCCGAGGACCCGTCTCTCTCTGCGCCCTCCTCCCACTGCGCCAGCGCCCCTGCCTGCTCTGCCAGCAAGTCACACGCTTCTGATAACTCCACCATGCTCCCACTGCCACCCCTGCTGCCCCGTCCACTGTCACTGCCTCTCCTTCTCCCTAAACTGCCTGCCCCTGATGTGGCCCTCGAGATGTAAAACTTGTCCCTTGTGTTCTCCCCTGCTCGGAAACTACCTGTCCTGTCCTGCTTGCCACTGCTATTGTCGAGGCTATCAGTGCTGCCCGCGCCATCAGCAGCAGTGAGGCCTGTTGCTGGAACATCGGTCGGCGCAGCCACAGCAGTGGCAGGCTGGGCGGGTGGGTGTGGCGGCGAGGGGAAGTCGGAGCGGGAGGAGTGGCGGCGGAGGGGCAGCAGCGAGGAGAGCCATGAGGTGGGGGAGGTGCCGGTGGGTGCGTGGGAGGAAGGGGGGGAGGTGTGTGCGGAGAGGGAGGCGGACTTGGCCATGGTGGCGGAGGAGGAGGCAGCACGGGAGAAGACAGAGGTAGAGGAGGAGCGGGAGGGGGGCAGCAGGGACGAGGAGGTGGAGGTGGAGGAGGAGGAGGAGGAAGAGAAGGCACTGCCCTCCACGGTTTTGGAGCGTGGTAACTTGATGCCGCGCTTCTTCTCCTTGCCCACGCTGCGATGGGACGGCAGGGCAGTGGCTGCGGAGGAAGGGGGCTCAGCCGCCGCTACATGGGAGGTATCATCGTCGTCAGCAGGTGTAGCAGCCGGAAATGCAGGTACCACGACGGGCGCAGCAGTGTGTGCAGCAGGAGAGGGAGCGAGAGGAGGAGGGGCGGATACCACATGTGCATCGAGGGAGAGTCTGCCGCTGGTGCTGCTGCTGATGAAGGTGGCGGCAGTGAGCACAGAGCTGTCAGCCGTGGACGTGCGGGGTAGTGACAGCAACCCACTCAGGCTGCCGCTGCTGCCGCGTGCACTCCTGTTGCTGCTGCGCCCACTGGCGCTGCCACTGCCCGCCCTGCTGCTGCGCCCCTTGCCTGATGACCCTGTTGCAGCTGCACGGGGGGAGGCCACGCCAGGGGATGGCTTAGCGCCCGTGCTAGTGGCAGCAGCAACAGCGGCAGCAGCAGAGGTGGCAGAAGCGGAGGGGGGCGCAGAGGGTGCAGCAGAAGGTGCAGAGAGGCCCCGTGGGCTTGTTGTCACTGTGCTGCCCCCGTGACTACTACTGCTGCTCACAGCGCGGCCTACCTTGTGCCTGGATGGCCGCTCACTGCCTTGGGCGCTGCCAGCCATGGTGCTGCTGGTGGACACACTGGCGTCCACCGTGCCGGCGAGCACAGCGCTGCTGGCAGTGGCAACAGCAGCGGTGGGAGAGGTACTCGTGGGAGGAGAGGAGGCAGCATCGGTGTGAGAATGAGAAGGAGATGATGGCAAGTGGTGCGCGTGCGCGAGGTGGTGAGGGGTTGGTGAGGCAGTGCGTCTGGCAAAGGTGGAGGAGGGAGAGAGGGACCTCCCAATCTGCATGTAAAAGGGCATGTGTGCAGGTTGGAGGGGAGGGACTTGAGAACCACTGAGCCGTCACAGTCAATATTGATGATGGAACAAAGGGTTGGACACATGAGTATTGTGAAAGAGGGTGTGCGAGTGCATGCACAACACAGTTTGTGCATGACCGAGAGGGATGCCACATATAGCCCGCGACACACACAGAGCATGAAGAGCACGCACGCACGCACCTCTAATCGGAAGGGAGCGGGCACACCATTCTCTGCTGCGCTCTGCACTGTGTGCCGCACCTGCGACCACGCCCTGTCCTGCTCCAACCGCCGCTGCATCACTCTCGCCTTCTCCAGCCGCCCCTCGCCTTCCTCCGCCTCGCTGCCCCCACCCTCCTGCTCCCCACTACTCCCCTGTGCCTCCGCTTCCTCCTCCCCATGCCGCAATGCCTGCCCTGACTCCTGCCACGCTGCTCTCTCCATCTGCTTGTTCCTCTGCTTCTGCCGCAGCTGCTGCCGGCGCCGCAGCCAGCTAACTCCACTGCTGCTGCTGCTGCCAGTCTCGCCTACAGCAGCCCCATTGCTCCGTTCCTCCGATCCCTCACCTCGCTCTGCCTCCCCATACGCATATGTGCCTTGCTGCTCGCCCTCGTCCGCCCCCCCTCTCGATCTCTCCTCCTCCTCGTGAAGCAGCCACCGGGGGGAGTCATGTTGTGTGCCCGACTGCAGCTCACCACCCGCCAGCACCACCGCTGCATTCACCGCCCTCACAGCATCTCGCGCCCCTTCCTGTGCCACCAAGCTCCCATGCCGCCATATCCTTCCCTCACCCACCTTTCTTGCCTCTTTCTTTTCCCCTCTCTCCCTCTCTGCTTTCGCCTTGCGCAATTCCCTTCGCCCCCCACCACGCCCTTCACCGTGCTGCCCCCACTCCTCCCCCATGTCCGCCATCCCTTCACACCCATCACCATGCCACCTGTCACGCTCTTTGTCCACATACTCACCCCCTCCTTGCCGCCCCTCCTCGCCCCCTCCCGCACTCGTATACCCCCCCTCCTCCTGCATTGCCTTTCCCTTGCCCAACCCCCCATCCCCATCCACCCTGCCCGCCCTGTGCCGCTCGTCCCACCCCCCCTCCTCCGCACCCCCTCGGCCCTGAGGCCGGAACCTAGAGGCAGCCAGTCCGCGCCCACCTACCACTCTGCGCCGGTGCCGCCGCGCATGCCCCTCGTTGCCATCGCTGTTCACCTCCCTCCCCTCGCCCCCACTGCACTCGCCCTCGCTCGCGCCACTGCCCGAGTCCCTGCTCTCTGAGTGGCTTTTTCTCATCCCAGGAGGCGCCTCCCCCTCCCCCTCACCGCTGCCCCTCTCCGCGCCTGCAAGGGCGCGCCTCACCCTGTCCGCCTGCCCCTTGCCGATACCACGGCGTGGCTGGGCGTCCCCAGCAGCGCGAGGGCTGTGCGCATCAGCAGCAGCACCATGAGAGGCAGCGCGGGGGGATTGCGCAAGGGGTTGGAGGGAGGGGCGTGGGGAGGGGGAGAAGAGGGAGCGGGCGTTGGCAGAGGTGACAGGCGTGGCCACCACTGCCGCCCCCTCGCCATCGCTGTCCGCTTCGCTGTCACTGTGGTTCGAAGAGATGGAGAGCGGTGCAGGGGTGTGGGCGTTGGATTGCTGCAGGCGCCAGAGAAAGCCCTCCTTCCACGCCTTGTTCAGAAACGAGCTCATGGCGGACCCTGACGGGGCTAAGAGCGAGGGAGCGGGGGAGGAGGTGCTGGGGGAGGGCGCTGCTGCTGCTGCTGGGGCGTGCACACGTGAGTCCAGGTGGAAAGGCGGCTCCTTGCCAGCGCCACTGCTCTGCTCCCACTCTGCGCCGTTCTGTGTCTCCCACGCGTGCTTCAGAGCCGGGATCCCATCCCCTCCCCCTGCCTCTCTGCCCCCTTGCTCTGCGCCCTTGCCCCTGCGCCCCAGCTTGGCGTTCTCCCCCACGCCCAGTGACACCACTCGCCTCAGCGGCGACCGGCTCTTGCTGCCCGCCTTGCCCGGCGCGCCCTTCACCTGCCCGGCACCCGACGCCCTGCCAGGCGCTGCCACCGGCTGCACTGCACTTGCTCTCCTGCTGCCTGCCTCCCTTGCCGCCCCGCTGCCCTCGCCACTGCCGCTGCTGCCCTGGCTCACACCAGGGCTGCTGCTTCTGCCGCCACTGCCACTGCCCATGCTGCTGGTGGCGGCACTGCCAGCGCTGCTGCTGCTGCGCGCCCTGCTCTGGGAGAGCAACCGAGCTGCCGCTGCTGCCGCCACCACTGCTGCCACCGCTGCTCCTGGTGCTGCGGGGGTGCCCAGCCCTCGTGCCTCGTCTGCTGCCACTGCTCCTGCTCCTGCTGCACTGCCTTCTAAACTGCCTTCTACTCCTGCTATTCCCACCACGCCTGCTTCTCCTGCTGCAGCCGCCAGTCGTGATCCATATGCTGCTACTGCAGGTCCAGCCGTTACCGGCGGTGGCGACGGAATGGCAAGAGATGCAGCGTTCGCAGAGAGGGGGTCGAGCAGGGAGCAGCGGCCTGGAAGGCGCTTGACCTTGTGCGAGGCGAGCACGAGTGTGATGGTGGTGGTGGGTGGCAGCACGGCCTCGCAGTAGTCCACCAGGTATGATGACGGCAGCCCCCGTGCATGCGTCTTCCTGCACCCGATAGGTGGTGGGGCGTGGGACAAGATGCGTGTGAGGGAGGGAAGGCGAGGGAATGGTGGAAGCGGAAAGGTTTGTGGCTGGTGCGAATGAAATGGAGGAAAAGAGTGCGGGATAGTGCCAGCTTAGACCAAATGGGTGTACAGGGGCAGTGGATCACAGACGAGTTCAGCAGATGCGAGGCACATGGCATGGATGGCATGGCATGCAGGCACTACTTTTTGAGGGAGAGGTAGAGGCGAGTGGCAGAAGCACGGCGAACAGCGGTGCAGAGACCTCTCTCCCGCCTGCTGTCACACTCCACATGGCCCGTTGCCGCCACCTGCATGGGGCACGCACAGGTAGAGAGCACGTGCAAGGAGGTGAGTCCACGTTGGCACACGGCCATGCACTCGTGCTCACAGGTGCATGGGGTGTGCAGGGGTGTGACTACCAAGGGCCGTACCATGGAGCGTACAAAGTGATGAGAGCACATAGCAAGGGCGTGTTCATGAAACAGGATCAACAAGAGAATCGGTAGCAGCTGACCTCCTTGTGTGTGGCGAAGAGCACGAGGGGCTTGAGCACGTGCTGCTGCACGCGCTGTACACTGTCCCTCGTTGCTGCCACATCCGCCTCTTGCACATCCACCTCCTCACCATCTGCCATGCCATGCACTGCACACGCGTGAGTCGACACTCATTCTCAAAACACTGAGCCCCCAAACATGTGTACCCTTGTGCGTGGCTTTCAAGAGCAAACGAGCCTCTCCCATCATGATGAACCGAACTGAACCACATGATTATCATGCAACGCCATGCCACGCGATGTCCTGTTCCCTGGCGTACCATGGGAGCGCACGTGCGTCATGACGTGCACGAGCAGCAGCGCGACGGGGTGGGTGTGCAGGCGCGCGTCCGCGATGGCCATCAGCAGCGCGTCCTTGCACCCCTCCCTCTCCCTCTCGCCCTCCCTCGCCTTCTCCCTCTCGCCCTCCCTCTCCGCGTCGCGCGCAGATGCCACCTCCACCACCCACACCTCCCCACCCATGCGCGCGCCACTGCTGCCGGGAGGCTGGGCCGTTCGAAGGGCGACCACGGTGGGGGTCAGCGAGGGAGAGAGAGAACGCGATTAGCGACAGGGTAAAGAAAGCGGGAGATGGGAGCCGGGGGCGGGGGAGTAAAGGGATGCGCATGCGTGAACAGCGGCGATGCTATGAGCATGCGCGCCACACCATGCCGGCACCGCCCGTTCCGGTTCCCACAGGCGAGCTCACGCAGGGTGGTTGAGAGAGCGGGGCGCCCATGCGCGGAGGCGGGCGAGAGTCCGCGGGTGGCGGAAGGTGGTCTAAAAAGGGCTACGTCGGGCGACGCGGAGGGATGGGGACTACACAGTAGGTTGCCGCATGGCCAAAGACGGGGGAGAAGGGGAGGGACGATACGAGTCGGGGAGAGCGGGGGCAGAGGGGGAACAAAGCGAGGGTGACGGCGGGTGCAGAGAGACGCGGGTGCGGGGCAGGTGGGGGCCACGAAGGCCAGGAGAGATGAGAGAGGAGAGGGTGATTGGTGGCAAGGGCGTGAACGGGGAGCACATGGGGTTTCGCAGCACGATCCGCAGGGTTCGACGCGGGCCGACGCGCAGGTGGGGAGGGGAGGGCTTAGGACAGGGCGGGGAGGATGAGGACGAGGGGGCGCAAGAGTGTGAGGAAAGGGGTTGACGCACGACCCAAATGCAATGCCGGGGCCGTTGATGCGATGACACGCGCTGCGATAATTTGCGGCAGGCTAGAAGAAAGGGAGGATCGAAGGGGGGACGGCAAGCAGAAATTGAGCACCGCGCGGCCTGCTGCTAGGTGCGCTAATTGCGCGTGCGTGTCCGCAGCCGTCGTACCGTGGTGCGCGGCTTGATGACCGCTACTGGCGCAATGAGCACGTGATCCTCGCGCGCATCGAGCGATAAGTTAAGCAGAAAGGTTTAAAACTGGTATGTTACAAGAGACGGAAAGGAAGTGGTGCTAGTGGGGAGTTGCAATTGACAAGGGCATCTGAGGCGGCAGCAGGCAGTGTCTGAGCTCTGCAGGCGCCATTGCAACGTCGCGGTGGTTACTGAAACAATCGTGACGTGTGCGTGATTAATTATGTACAGGATCAAAGGCGTCGCTCTACAGAAAAACTACGCGCATTCATACTTGAATAGAGGACATGGTGATGCGCGAGCGACCAGTGACGTGTATGCATAGACATGGGACACTACTGCGAAGAGAGCGAAGAAGCCATTCAGAGAACACACTACTGCTTGCTCCGTGCAACAACAGCGGCGCAGCACTCGGAGTGGGCAGAGCACTGAAGAGCAACCGACGCAGCATAAGTAACGAACGATGGAGGTGAGCAGGAGGCCAACCAGTGCTATTTCAATTGAGCAAGGCGAAGGGAATGCGAAGACTAACGAGTGGATGGAAACCCCAGCTACTGAATTGCGAAAACGAAAGAATCGCCCACTAAGGTGCACGTGACCAAGGGCTCTGTTCACTGCCGAAGAAGCTGCCCGTTACAGCCAAAGGTGAGTGCCCGTTTGTGGGTGTGGAATGACACGACAAACCAAGCATTTCGAAGCGGAGCGTTATCGTGCCAACCAAACACCAGTAGTTGCTCACCAACCAGATTTACTCGCCATCACCTTAGGCGAAGGAAAGCCGACCGCCATCAACTTGTAGGCTTTATCATAAATCTAATCATTCAACTTACACCAGAGAAGCAAAAATGGTGGGCCTACTAGTGACACACATTAAGATCACTGAAGAACTCGGTACTCTTCAACTCGTGCCTTGTCAACCAATGTGGCCGTCCAGATGACAATAGCACCGAAGGCGAAAATCATGAGGCCAAGCAGGTTTGCAACAACAGCCTCTGGGCCCCTTTTGTCAAGGCCCCCAGCGAAGCGGAACGTCATCTTTTCTAGTACCCCTTGTGACGCGGTGGCGAGTGCAAAGCAAAAAAGGAAGACACCAAGGAAGGTGTGCCATGGCATGAAGGCTTGACGAGCAGCAAGAGATGTGGTTGGATAGAAGAATGCGTAGAAGCCAGACAACCACTGTGAGAGGGGATGGATGAGTGGGGAAGGATGGAGAAACGAACATGAGCTCTGAATAAATTTAGCCAGGGTCTTGTTGAAGGGAAAGAAGAGTGTGTGAAAAGGTAAAGTGAAAAGAACATCAGTGGATCGCAACAGAACGAACAGACCTAACCACGGGCTGAACACATACCTGAAGCGCAAAGAGGACGAGAACCCCCATGCCACACCAAGAGTGGAGGCTGTAAAGGTCAGGGATAGACTTGAGGCCGTGGAACTTGAACACTGCCCACACTCCCACCAACGCTAGCAGCAGCGCAACCCCGTTAATGACCAAGTGGGCAACCTTTCTGGCCGGCCTTGACAGCGGAAGGAGGCGGTACGCAAGGATGCCTGCACTCAGTGTGGGATGCACACAGCCAAACCGAATCGGTCTTCAAGGAGTTGCGAACGCAAGCAGAATTTGGGTAAATTTTGCAGGATGCAGGCAGCAGGAGAAAAGGAATACGCACCTTCGCCGAACACAACCACAAAGCCCACGATCATAAAGAGAGGATGGTACTGTGTCACGAACGGGAAAGCGGAAATTCGGTACAAGGGTGCCCCATGTTAGACAGAACGCCCAACGAAAGGCGCCAGGCGCGCAGAGTAGGGAAAGAACACGATAAGAGAGTACAGATGACGAAATAACTCATTTCTTTGCGGAAACGGTACTTCTTGAAAAACAAATTACTGCCACAAAATAAAAGACGAACATTGAAAAGGGTGTCAGGCTTTTGCGAGTCCCAGCCTGCTCCACCCTGAAAGCCGACGACCCAGAAGGTCACGAGACCTGCGAGCAACACCGCAGATGCATGGCATGCAGCAACGGCGGTCGTAGGAAACCCTGATTGTTCAGACATGGAGGCACGATAGCGGGCTGAAGTCACGGACGACGAGACTGGAAGTGGAGAGGTCGGTGTGAGTGCAGGCGAGAAATCCGCAACTGAGATTGGGAGGGTTCTGATAGAAGTCTTGCGAGTCATGACGGCCAACAGTCACAAACAAGGGCTGCAAAACGTTAGTGTTACGGGTGCAATGAATCGAGGTAGCGATTGAACTGAGGGCGTATCTTTGGTTCGGGTCATGCACTGTTTGGGTCATCCGAGATTCTTGGAAGACCAATCAGGCGCATTTTAGTGAAAATACTCGAATACCATTGGTCCTCCCATGACCCAAAGTGTACTGATGACCCAAAGTGGCCCTATGACCCGAACCGAAGATACGCCCTAAGTATCAATCTAGTGCAAAATGTGAGTGAAGGCATGAGCTAACATTTATACGCTAAACATGCAAACGGTAACGCGGTGCGTGCGAGCTAGCTAGTGCTAGGCTGGCATCGAGGCTCGGGCTAGTCCCGAAGCGTAGGCCGACACGGCCGGGCCAGCAGTGCATGGTTTGGTAAAACAGTGCGCGCGAAGTCGGCGAAGCCCCGTTAGCAGTAACGGGCGAACAACGGCTGCTGCTGTACGCGATGTTGCAGGATGTGCTAAGGAATGTTAAGAAATTTCCTTACAGTTAGGTAGAGCTCGAAAATACATGCGGAGTGGTGTTAGTCAGTTACATGCTACACAATGTTGATTTCATACAGCAGCCACTTGTTGAAATTAGGAGGTCGCTAGAGTAGCGGAAATACTCTAGGAAATAACGACGTCCCAGCGGCGGGGCTATGGTCACTCAGAGGTAGCTCTCCTGGCTTGTAACTTGGTGCCAAAGCGGCGGCCGAGGGTAGGCCGGACACAAGCTTGAGAATTGTGTAATGATAGCATGGCAGTACATTGAGTTATATAGGAAACATAGCAGGGAGGCAGTTACCAAGGCGCAACTGTATTACAGTTGCGCTGTAACGTTTCAGTTGCCCAGTTACTGGCGAGACCTTTCAGCTTCGGCAAGGGCGCGGTATTCTGCCGCGCCTCCAGGGTGGTTTCGCGTACTGTAGACGCTGCCTCTTGCTCAATTCGACCCTTCGGCTGCCACGCGGGTCGCAACCACTGTACGCGGTTGCGCCCCTGCAGTTCGATACTTGGGTCAACACACCCGATATTGAGGGCTTCGCTTCTGCACTTCGAACAGTCCACTGCAAGATAAATAACACACAAATATATTTCCAACACCACTTACAAAACTATACTTCAAAACCGTATGCCAGGCAATATGATGCCAGTTTGTGTACATGAGATGTACGCTGCTTATACATTATATTTTGAAATTTTTCACTGTAAACAATCGAATATATTGATTGAGGCTAGAATACACAGTACACTGTGGACTAGTCTTTGTTAGGAGGGTTGAGCTTGCTCCATGAGAAGAGTGGTGGGTTGTCAGTCCAGGAGGCAGCAGCTCGATCATCAGACAGAGATGCTCCCAGATCTAAACGCCGAGTACCTACAGTCTGGTGCATACACGTCGGTTGATTCGTAATCGCGCATAGAACCATCTAAGAAACCCACACCCTGTTCAGAGTCCACAGCCACGGGGCGGTGCAGCAGGGTGGACAACGCCGTGTAATCCATGGCCCGCTGCTCCCTCCCCGGACGATAGGTCTGCCCCATGACGCCATGAATGTCCTTCGTCGCCTCAACACGCCGGAAAGCCAGGTTGATATGAGCCTCTGCATCATCTGCAGTCTGCAGCAGGGGATGCGCCACTCGGAGTTTAACATCCAACTCGATGAGCCCTGGGATGATCACATGATACGCGTCAACCTCCATCGGCCCTCGCATCTGCACTCCAACGAACGTCAATTCGAGTCCCCCTGCCAGCTTGAGTGTTTCGCCCTGGCGCATGCGACCGATTAGGACGCCATCAACCTCCAGCCGCTCCACGAACCCCTCTCCGCGTTCCTGCTGGATCCCGCGTCGTGCCACCATCCGCAGTCTGTGCTCGCGGTCCACGTCACCAGCGACAGCGCCCTCCTCACGCCACATGAGGCCCAGCTCGCGGATCCACGTGCGCACGGCCTTGCCGCCGCGGATAATGGACGCACCGATGGTGCGATCGTCCAAGTATCCGTGCATGCGCATGTTCAGGTGCACACGGCGGTCGGTCAGAAGGCAGAACGTCTTATCTGGGAGGCCGTTGAACTCAAAGCGAGTGCCGTGCGCCCCTCGGAAGTGCGGGTCGTTCTTGGTGTAGGGGCACGAGGCGCCGATGCGTGAGCAGTTGTACTTGATGCGGTAGCCATTGTTGTTGTCCAGCTGCGTCTCGCACTTCGGCGCGTCACCAGGAGGGTACAGCCAGCAGATGCCGCACTTGAGACACTTGCCCGAAGGATTTATCGTTCTGCGAAGCCAATGCCAAGGCTATCGAAATGAGTGAAACGCTGAAACGTGGAGGATGATCGAGATCAGTGCACCAAAACAAGACGTACCCGATATAGTGCTGCCAGAGGCGGCAGGGCATGGCGCTGTTAGAGCACGCAGCGCAGCACTCCGAGACGGTGAGATTTTCTATGCACCACTGGTTGTTTGGTTTCGGGTTGCTGCTGCCTGGAGGGCATTGGAGCGACGATTGCACCGGAAGCTGCACCAAATGGGAAAACGCGGTGGTCAAGCTCTATAGTAATATTGCAGAAATGGACGGTACGTGCAAAAACGTTTATAAATGCTTACCCTCCAGCGACCTAGGATCCCAGCAGTGTCATTGCACATGCCTCCAGAGCAGAAAAACTTGAGCGGCGGGCAGTCTTGGAGAGGACACGTTGGGTACTCCTGGTCGTTGTACCAATCTATGACAGCGGCGCTCACGCCATTTCCGTTTCCGTTCTTGTTGTTCTGTCCTGCGGGCGACAGAGTGACTGTGCCAGGGGGTGGAGGGCTCGGCGGCGGAGGGCTTGGTGGAAGGCTCGCAGTCACTGGAGGGGGTGGAGGGGAAGCCTTATTGCCGTTCCCATTCCCGTTGTTGTTGCTGCTGCCAGCGAAAGCGGAGGGACATGATAAGAGTGCGATCAGGAGCGCCAGCGTCACACGCGGCACTGAGAGTGTTCTCATCATGGCGACGAGAGCCAAACGCAGGTAGCAAAACGAAGCTGTGGCTAAGTACGTGTGCAGTTAGCCAATAAAAGACACAAAAACGAATCGTGAAAGCTTCTAGGACAGGGGATCTGATGGTCTTATGTCGACGCACTTAGCTTAGCACACAACCCCTGCATCGTGCAATGTTGTAACAATAGTCGTGTTCGCGACACCAGTTCGCGAAGGCCCGTCTCCAACAAATTTGCGATTCGAAACCTGAGAGCATCAGATTTGTTGACGGAAATTTGTCTTCCAGTCGGCTCCAATGCGTGAGGCTCGAATGCGTGAGGCGCCAACACACCACCTCACACACCTCACTCTCGCCAGGGCATTCAACATCCACACCAAATTACGTGCTTAATTGTTTGCCTAATTTTATGTGTTTCCATTCAGACAGAATAACTCGTTCTGGAAATTGGTAAAAGTCCAAGAAAGAGGGAAGTTTGCTGCCTGCGATAACCACAGTTTCCAGTATGTATGTTTTCGGAGCCTTGCTGTTCACAAGGCGAATAGTTCAGCAATCGTGTGGCATCATTCGAGAACACTCTAAACTTAAAACATAGACTTCGCGAATTCAGTGTACGCCAACGAGAGGTTCCCCGTTCAATTGCGACTCGCTCGCAATCTAGCTGGATAGAACTGTGATTACTACTCTATTTGGGGTGAAATTACCACCCACCTGGATTTCTGGTACCCGAACCCTAAACTGGGTCATGTCGTTAAAAGGTTGAGAAATAGGGTGTACATCTCGCTATTTTCAAGACCTCCAGGACAAAACCATTTGGGATCGCGATACTCCAGAAGCGACAGCGGGAGGGCCTTATGTGAAGAGTGACCCTAACTGGGTCATACTGCTATAATGAATTCCGAAAACATATTGAACCGAGAGTGCGTCGGTAGAGCATAATAGATGTAGGAAGGAAGGAATGTCATTCACGAACAGCATAATTATAAGCTGTACTTGAAATTATTACGTTCGGCAACCTAGAAGGTAGGTTCATCATCCTGTCAAAAAACTACAGTACACCACCACCAATCAACCAAAGACGGTTGGAAGACGGTCGCTTCATGCCACTCATGTACTGCTGGAATGTTGGAGCCTCAGGGCAAAGCAAGCGTTGGACCTGTTGCTGATAGTCAAGCAAGCAGCCATTCATGGAATAGCTCATCTCATTAAAATGGGGTATACTCGCTTATTTCGAATGAAATATGACGTTTAGTAAATTTGGTTCTTCGTTAACCCTACTCTGGAAAGTTGCCACCGATTGTGAACATGAGGCAGGCTGGTACCCTAACACATCTTATGGGGAGTGCGTCATAGAAATGCTTCCGACTATACACAGCGACCATTTAGGGGAACCATGGAGTTACCCTGCACAACAAGTATCCCCCTGGCACAAGGCTCCTCCCAATACGACAAGTCTCATGTGAGTCCAAAAGCAGCGAATACAAGCTGGCATTCAGGAGATACAAACAGACGACACCACTGGGAGCCCTCAACATCTCCTGGGAAGCTGAGGATTTTTCGATTTGACGGTTAGTCCGTACAACAATACTGAGCTGTACGAATCTGTCCGGCATTCTGAGGCATTGCATGACTCTAAATGCAAGGGTACACCTAATATATAGAATATGTATCTCAAATACCTCACCATACGATGTAGACGAAGCATGTGATCAAGCCATGTCCGAGCGGGGGTTGGGGGGAGGTGGGGTGGAAGTTTATGCATTACAGGGTATCTCAAATGAATCTTCGAGTATTCTCAAAACAATCCTTTAAAGCTCAAGGCCCATATTGCAGAGCGCGCAAGGCAAGCTTATTAAAGTTGATGAGAGTGGTGTTTTTAGTGTTGTTTGGTTGGAAATTATGGTTACGGTACGAGAAGTGTGATGAAATTTGTTTGGCCAACAGTTTTTTTGTCGAATATGAGAGAAGTAAACACCAAGAATATTGTGAGCGTAATTTGGGACTCGATAACCAAACCGTGTTGCTCCCTAAGGTTTGCTAACTCATCAAAAACTCAGAGGGTGTAGTGCGAAGCAGGGCGAAACTGAACAGCCCGACTAAAAAAATAATAACAACAAAAAAAAAAGCCTTCTGTCAGAATATTATCTTATGTTCTAGCCTGTAGTGGGGTGCTCTATAGCGAGTACAACCCTTCTAGGGTTTGCTATTTGTATCCTCATTCTTGCTAGTTCTATCCCTCTTTCTTTCTTCTAATTTTGTCATGCTATCAGAGCAGGTCGATCCCTTTGGATCGATCCTGTGGGTGGGTTACCACCTCCACGCTTCCGCTGCAACGTTTTCCTTCCCGCCGTGCGCCCCGAGGCGCGCGGCGGTTTTCTGCCCGCCGTGCGCCCCGAGGCGCGCGGCGGTTTTCTCTGCCCGCTGTGCGCCCCGAGGCGCGCGGCGGGCGTCTGCCTCGTCGTTCGTCGCGTCGCCTTCTGGAGGCGCCGCGATGGGCGACGGGGACCCGTCGCGGCCCCGCTGCCCTACCTTCGCGGCCACCCGCCGCCCTACCGTCGCGGCCACCCGCCGCCCTACCTTCGCGGCCACCCGCCGCCCTACCTTCGCGGCTACCCGCCGCCCTACCTTTGCGGCCCACCCGCCGCCCTACCTTTGCGGCCCACCCGCCGCCCTCACCTTCGCGGCCCCGCCGCCCCTTCTGTCGCGGCCTCGCCGCCCTACCTGCGGCCCGTCGCCCTACCTGCGGCCTCGGCCCCGGCCCCGTGCCCCTACCTGCGACCCTCTCAGGCCCGTGGTGGGCCCCTTTCTCCACCCCCCCCCCCCCCCCCTTTTCCCGTCGCCCGTCGAGGCGACCTGAGGGGGCCAGGCGAGCTGTGGGGTGGCGGGTATGGGGGTGGTCGGTGTGCATTCCTCCCTTTGCTCCTCCTCCTCCTTCGTCTCCCACTGCTGCAGCTGTCGCTGAGGGGGGTGGTTGTGTGGGAGACTGGGGTTTAGGGTTTAAGGGGGGTGCGTGGGAGTGGAGCTAGCGGTGTAGCAGCGGGTGCGTGTCGGGGGGGTGGGACTGTTTGGGGAAGCTGCATGGAGGTTGCCGTACTGTTGTCCGTAGCACCTGTAGTCCGGGGCGCTGTCCCGGTAGCCCACTGAGCTAGACTTCTACGCCAGCCGCCCGTGGGTCCGCTGCTCGTCTGCCGCTACTTTAGCCGCGGGGCCTGTTACTCCTGTAGTCCGGGCGCTTAGTCCGGTAGCCGCTGTGCCAGTCTGCCTCCTGTTGCCCGTGTGTCTGCAGCTTCAGCCGTCGCCTCCTATCTCCTCTCCCCTCACTCTCTCTCCTCCTCCTCACTTGCCCGTTGTGACTACCACTAGCTTTGCTCATAATTCTGAACTCTAAACTATTTCTTCTTCAACTTGTGCTCAGATTGTGTGGTGACATTGTGATCCACCCTGAGCTTGTACTGCTTTGCCTGCTCTGCTGATTACACCCCACTTTGGCTATGGGGGTGTGTCAGAATATTATCTTATGTTCTAGCCTGTAGTGGGGTGCTCTATAGCGAGTACAACCCTTCTAGGGTTTGCTATTTGTATCCTCATTCTTGCTAGTTCAATCCCTCTTTCTTTCTTCTAATTTTGTCACTTTCCTCTCTCACCACCCGAAGGGCAACCTTAGTAAGGTTGAACCATTTGGGCCTTGCGCTTTAAAACTCGTCTGACTCTTCGGGACCTCGGCATCACCATTTAGCCATCCCTACACAAGCGGTTCGTAGCATGTACGGTCGCTACCATTGGGCACCTCTTGCAACTCCCCCCACTTCCTTGCGTCGTGTCTTTTCAAGCCGCATATTGTGCCCCCACGTTCCTGTGTCTGGTCGGGTAGCTAGTGTCAACTTATATGCATGTTATATATGTGTAGGCTGTAGTGGGGTAGCAAATATGGGGTACAACCCCATTAGGGTTTCATATTTGTACCAAACCCTGATCTAGTCAATTCATTCATGCTAGTAGATTTTAACATGGTTTCAGAGCGCTAGGTCCGTAGGACCGTCTTTTTTTTTCCGGGCCCACCTACCATTGCGGTTACCGCGCTACCCCACGTGTTGTCCTGTGCGCGCCTTCCCCTGCCTTGCCTTGTGACGTGCTGCGCTGCGCGCGCCGTCCTGCAGCCCTCGCGCTGCCTGCTGTTGCCCTAGCTACGCGCGCACCGCCTTGCAGGCCCGTAAGGACAGCGCGCCGCCCCTGCTAGCCCGTAAGGCCAGCGCACCGCCTCTGCAGGCCCGTAAGGCTCGCGCGCCGCCGCTGCAGGCCCGTAAGGCCCGCGCGCCGCCCCTGCAGGCCCGCGAGCCGCCCCTGCAGGACCGTCACGCCAGAGCGCCGCCCCTGCAGGCCCTTGCCGCCCGCGCGCAGCTTCTGCCCGACCGCGCGCCGTCTGTGCCGCTGCCGCGGCCCCGCCCTGCCGCCGACGCGGCCCCGCCCTGCCGCTGTCGCGGCCCCGCCCTGCCACCGATGCGGCCCCGCCCTGCCGCTGTCGCGGCCCCGCCCTGCCACCGAGGCGGCCCCGCCAGGCCCTGCCCTGCCGCCGACACGGCCCCGCCCTGCAGCAGCTGCCGCGGCCCTGCCCTGCCGCTGTCGTGGCCCCAGCCCAGCAGCTGTCGCGGCCCCGCCCTGCCGCTGTCGCGGCCCCGCCCTGCAGCTGATGCGGCCCTGCTCTGTAGCCGCTGTTGCGGCCCCGCCGTCGCCGCCGTCGTGCGCCTACCCTGCCGCCGCCCGCCGAGCGCCGGCCCTGCTCGCTCGGCGAGCGCCTGCCCTTCCCGCCACTAGTGAGCACCTACCCTACCCGCGCTTCCCGCGTGCCTGCCTTGTTAGCGCGCTGCCGCGCCATCTGCCTGCCTGCCGCGCCTGCCTGCAAACCGAGCCGCACTGCCCAGCTGCGTCGCGCCGCTCCGCCGCGCCGAGCAGACCCGCCGAGCTGCGTCGGGCTGCCGGGCTGTGCAGCCCTGCTCTGCTGAGCCGCACT